TCTCCCTCTATTTGTGCCTCTTCAAAATCCACAGCACTGTTGGTAACAGCTGACCTCCTCTTACAGTGCTTAAGGGTCAGGGCTTCCCAATTTTCAGAGATTTGCAGGATTTTTCGAAGGCAACACTGATGGAATCTTTCTAGAAGTCGAGTGACGTTTGTCACTCCATGTCTCGCAGACACACAATAGAGTTGGAAGGACAATAGCTTTATAAACATGCATCTTGGTATCCCTACTAATGCCCTGATCTTTAAACATTATCTGCTTAATTTGAATAAAATGCTGCACTCACAGAGCTCAGACGGTGTTGTATTTCGGCATCAATGACTGCTTTTGTGGAGAGGTGGCTGCAAATGGAAGCTGAAATTGTCATTTTTTAAAGCTTTACACCATTAAGCTTTATTGCTGGCATTGCAGAAGGATTGGTTGGTGCCTGCAAAGAGAGCACTTTGGTTTTCTCAATGTTCAGTGATAGACCAAGCTTTTCATATGCTTCTGCAAGTATGTTTAAGGTGGTTTGTAGGTCTTCCTCTGAATGAGCACAGCCTACATTATTGTCAGCATAGTGAAATTCTGTAACAAAAGTTGTTGTGAACTTACTTTTGGCTTTCAGCCTGATGAGGTTTATGGTCAGGACTTCCCACAGTCCAGTGTATTATTTCCACACTGATGGGAAAACTAATCCATAGTCTTCAGCCACAGCAATTGAATCAAACTGCATGTTTTCAACAGGGTAGATGCAACCTTTGATTTAAGGTCTGACAAAGCTGGAACTTCAGATATGATTGCAGTACAGCTCACAGCAGCAACAGGCGAGGAATGCTGGGAGTTGCAGTTCAGCAACATCTGGAGAGCCACAGGATCACCCCCCTCCCCATCCGAAGCATGCTAATGTTGCCATATCTATAAGAATCAGTTATCAAGTTTTGTATAACTTGGTGAGTTCTCCATGGAGTCTCTGTAGCACTCCAACTCAAAACGTAAGAGCAATTTTAGAAACTTCTAGTTTGAAGATACAGTGCTGTGCAGGCCCGTAGCCAGGATTTTGATTTGGGGGGTGCTGAGTTTGATTTGGGGGGGGGGGGTGCTGAGTTGATTCGGGGGCGGTGGGGCTGAAAGAGGGTCTACCCTAGCAAACCTTTTGTATAGTTACCCCAATACCCCCATGCATATGGGATATATTGAGCATGGTGATCAGATCATGATATGAATAAACATAACAGTTTAAATAATGTACCAGTAAGGCCTTCTCGTGGACCACCCTGAGAATTTCGGGGGGGGGGGGCTGAAGCCCCTCAAGCCCCCCCCCCCCCATGCCTGGTGCTGTGTGCACAGGCTAGCTACACACATGCCCCCTAAGTATCTGAGTTTCTTGCTATATCAAACAAGAGAACAATCCTGTTCTGACAATAAGTGCAGGAATCCAGATTAGTGGGGAACCTTTCCCTTCAGATGTTTCGGACAGCAGCTCTCACAAACCTTTACTCTTGGCCATGTTGATTGAGCTTCTAGGAACTGACATTAAATACAAAAAATCATTCTCCTCATCTGTGACCCAGGCTTTCTAGTTGTCCCTTTAGCAAAATTCCTGTGCCTTGCACTATTGTACAACATGCAAACATTAAACAATGCAACCTTTCTCAACATGAACATACAGTGATGGAAAACTTCCTGCCTAAGTCGAAGAAACAGCATTTTTGCCCTCCCTCTCGCCTCCACAAAATGCCTCTTTAGCAAAAGTTTTTGGATCATATGCTCCAACACATGGCCAGCCCACACTCACTTTCCCAAATTTTATTGCTGCAAGACGCCAAAAAAGTTATAAATGCAGAATGTTAAGTAGCTCTCTCATTCTTCCCTGCGTTTACTGATTCTTATCCACTCCAGTAGTCGAACAGAAACAAACACTGCAGTTTATCAATGTCACTTTTATTTTGTATTCAAAACACACACACACAGAGACATACACACAAACTTATGTGAGGTCTTCAGCATGAGGAAGAACCTCTGTCAGGAAGGACTCGGTCATTCTTGTTTCTGAAGCCGGTTTGCATCCAGCTCTTGCCCTCCAAGGAAAAGGACTAATCTCCGACTCCCAAAACATATTGGTGATCACACAGTGTTGCAGACAGCTGTTTACTGACAACAACTGTGACAAGATAATGGACAGCATGTCCAGATGACAGATATTGACTGGAAACTGCAAAAGGAGGAGTGATAGCAATTTTAATGATCTTTCACTCAGCGTATACCCAGCCTTTGATTCCTTGATTGAAGCCAACGAAAGTGTGCAGGAAAGCTAGGATCTGGGGTTTCTTTTCACACATCAGGTGATAACATGGATTGAAGAAACTATCATCCATCTTACACAATCATATTGAGATTTTCAAAAAAGTGTCCCTCAAAGTGCACCTTTTGAATAGGTTATAGCTGAAATAATTAAAATATTCATGTCTATGGGTCCCATCACACGATACAGTTGTAGCGCTATGATTCCACTTCAATTGCCATGAAATCCTATGAAAACCTGGGATTAGGAGTGGAGAGAGAGGGACCTTTGGATTCCTCGTCCAGAAAAGTATTCCCTGTTGCCTCTACTCAGTGGTTCTCAACCTGTGGGCCCATGGGTGTTTTGGCCTACAACTCCCAGAAATCCCAGCCAGTTTACCAGCTGTTAGGATTTCTGGGAGTTGAAGGCCAAAACATCTGGGGACCCAAGGGTTGAGAACAATTGTTCTAACTAAACGACAAGTCCTAGGATCCTATAGGATGCATCCATGACAGTTATAAGTGAAATCAAAATACTATAATTATGTTAAAGGACCACAAATTAGCACACTGGTCATTTTTAGATTTGGCTTGATGATGGCTGGATTTAAAGCATATACAATAAATATACATATTTACATAATTACAATTTACAACACAAATAATCCGACGTAGTATTTCTCTCCAATACATAAGGTTGACAGTTTTGTTTTTACTAGTTCTGCTCTTTGTATTTTTACCTACAGCCTGCATAAATTAAGTCAAGGTACTGTACACCATACTGGGTGCAATCCTATACATATCTGGAAGTAAGCTCTACTGAGGTCAGCAAGACTTACTTCTGAGTAGACATATACAAGATTGTTCTACTAAAGGAGAGGAATTGAGCTCAGTGTTGGAAATCTTATGCTCTTTCCATGAATATCATTTGCCTGCCCAAATCAGCTTCCTTGTTGAGTATCTATTTGATTAGAAAGCAAAAGGTAAACTAAAAGGAAGCCATCTGGTTGGGTGCCCTTCTGCAATGAGGGCGCCTTGCCATCCTTCCATTTTGCTAATGTCTTGGCACAAGAGGACACCATTGTCCTGGCTAATGACAAGGGAGAGTGTCTAGCTTTTACTGTTCTTGTTTTTGTAACAACAACGCTATAATTTATTGTTAGGCTGAAGTTGGGACATGGTACAAAGCCATTTGGTGTGTGTAAACATTTGGATTCCTTCCAGTTCTGATTTAAAAAGAAAATGACAAAATCCTTCATTTCATCAGTCCCCAGGCATGGTAAAACAACAGTCACAGTCTAACTTAACTTCTATGACAGTATATATGTTCAACTTTGGAGAACACATTAAATACATTATTACGCTACTATTAGAAAAACACAAGACATAAATCACAAAAGTCGGTGAGGACAATTGCATGCTTTTTGTTTGGTGCTCATCACTGTTGTAATGATTTTTTAAAAGTTCATTTGTTCCAGTCCTGATGTCCCCTCGAGCAGTGCTTCTTAAACTTTTCCCACTTGCGACCCCTTTCTGCCAGAGAAATTCTGATGTGGCCCCAGATATACAGGTAAATAAAATAGGTAAAAAAATAAAACATTAACTGATAATAAATTGGCATTTGCAAGGCTTGCTATACAGGCTGACTTTTCTTTCTGTTGAGTACAACTGAAGCATCTTCTGAAGAGTCTACTATAAACACTGCACATTGCTACCAACAGATTTCTGTAAAAGGGTGGCATTCAGAAAGCTTTTGCCAATTTTTTTGTGACCCCAACACTGAGCTATGGTGATCCCATTTGAGGCCGGGACTTACAATTTAAGAAACTGCCTTTGAATGCCTGTTGTACTCAAGCCATTGATAGCACACATTTTATTGAAAAGAATAATCTAGGTAAATACAGAAGTTAAAACACTTCCATCCCACAACCCTCCCCACTTTAACTGATTTTCTCTGCTCCCGCATCCTTCAACTCACACTTATTTTTTGGGGCTTTTTTTAAAATTCTAATCAATTTCTGCCTTGTATAATCAAAAGAATGAGTTGCCCAACAAAATGAGTTCCTTTATTCTTCCTGCTTTATGAGACAACAAATTTAAGCTTGGCTCAAATGCCTTGAAGGCACTAGATCCTGTCTGATTTTGAAAGCTAGGCTGGGTCAGCCCTGGTTAGAACTTGGATGAGAGACCGCCAACAAATACCAAGAGCTTTAGGCTATATTTCAGGGGAAGGAACTGACAAAACCATCTCTGAATATCCCTTGTCTAAGAAGTGTGAAATTAACGAGGTTGTTGTAAGTCAACAGTTGACTTGTAAGCATATATATATATATATATATACACACACACACACACACACACACACTTAAGTTATTAATCTTAACGATAGCCAGGCTAACTTATCAAGAAGCTATCGTACCTTTAAAGCTGCAATCTTCTGCATGTATAACCAGTGAGTAAAACGCAATATCCTCAGTGGCATAAGATGGATTTTAAAAGTGAATTGCAGCAAATTCATCCAAACCCAGTAGAGAGATCTAGTGAACAAAGTAGCAGCAGCTTCTCTTCCATACCACCCACAGCACTTATAAGAGAACTATCAGTTCTGAATCGAGCATAAAACTTGGCTGATTCAGAAATAAAACTAGGCTTTTTTAAAAAACTAGGCTCTCGAGCTTCCCCTGTAACAGCAATTTGATATATGGCTATGCCTTGCTTCTATTTAAAAAAGGCATGGTTATTCCCCCCCCCCCCAAATGATTGGCAACTCTACTATCCCAAAGCAAAAGATGGACAGTAACAGGTACAATGACTCTGTATGCAAGTACAAAAGAAAGGGAGGGGGGAGGCTTGCCTAAGTTTAAATGCCAAGTTTTTGCACACTTAACTTTCTCTGAAAGATGCCTAAAGTTTTCAATAGTATTTTATGCATGCCTTGTGCAAGTACAATGGAGGCAGAAGTACTGAGACAACAGCGTACATTGTCCCATAGTAGTTTAGTATATCCAAAATCCAGTTAAAAATGGCTAAAATGTAAGGCATGGTTCTGTTGCTTTTGTTAACGTTTAACTACTCTTGGAAAACTATGGCCAAGCTAATTTGTTGTATGTTCCTCAACACAGTGTTTCCCCTCCAGCTAAGAAGGATCTTTTGGCTGGTTGGTCAAAATGAAAGGAAGGTAGGGATACTGGGAGCAATTGCTTGGGAAAGAAACAATTCTTGTTGTACTGGTAGAACCTGATGGTGCAGCCCTATTGTGCTTTTTTACTCAGCAGAAACTCCCACTCTGTTCATGTGGTTTGCTACCAGGTATGTGCATCAGACTGCACCCTTAGACTTATCAGACTACACCATGATTTCAGCACTGAGCCAGGATGTCTCCTCCCCTGGCTTGTCATGATGTGAACTGCTCACATTCACTACTCAAACCACTGACTGACTACTATGGTTATTTACTACTCCACTATTTTTTTTCAACTTGATGTGTCCCACAATATGACAGTAAGATAAAGAAAAACCTGAAATAATTTATGCTTGGGGAGGTGAGGCCGGGGGAGGGGGGAAGGAGACGAATTTCTTATCTCCTTCTCCCCTAAAAGATTCCACTTAATTAATAAGCCCAAACTTTGGCAATATTTTATAACTTCTTTTTCCTGTAGAGGGCAATCTAATAGCGTCTCTAGCACTCTTCCCAATCTTAGCCAACCCCTTGTATGCAGCTCAGGTGCCAGTCTTGTTGGCGCAAGGCAGGTAGCTCTACTTGCTTTTCAACTTTGTCAAGATTTCGCCACACCCTGCAGAATTCCAATCTGGACAAGGAGCTAATTTATCAACTCCCTGTTTCCCACACTGGGCTAGGAGGTAGGTGTGTGTGTGTGTGTGTGTGTGTGTGTGTATATATCTTCCAAGTCAAATAAAATGAAAGCTCTCCTTCAGAATCCATTCACACCTTGTCTACACTAACCATTTAATGCAGTTTCAAACCAGTATTGAAAAAAGTGGTTTCACCGTGCAGATGATTACATCGAAAATCCTTGGACCAGTTCTGAAGCCCAGATGGTGATGCTATAAACCACTGATGCACTTTCAGGGCTTGCTTTTGTATGAATTTCTTGTCTGACTACTGCAGTTGGAAGTTAGCTGTGAACTACATTAAATGGTCAGTGTAGATACAGCCTCAGTCATCTGAGCATTGTTCAAACGTCGTTCATCCACACACCCAAAGAGCCTGCTTCTCTCAGTTCAGTTAATAAAATCTGAAATACTGGGATCCAAAATGGCTCGGGAAATAATGGAGCTCCTTTTTTATGTCACCTACTCTTTTCCTCTCTTTGGACTGGAGAGGATGAGGAATTTGTGGGGTGGGGGAGGGGGTCGATTCACCAGCCTGTTAATTACACAAGTAGCATCACATATTTTCAAAACTTCTCCAAGTCACATATTTCCAGGTTAGAAGAACTTCTGGAGACCAACACAGGGGACCTCACTAATCTAGGTTATTTTTCTCCCCTTAACTATGTTTTGACTTCTTTAAAACACACTGCAGAAAGGATTTTGCACAGAACTCAAACAAGACACCAAGATATAAGATCAAAGACAGGGTTTCTCTAATAGCTTTCATCTCTCCCTGACTGCATTTGATTTTTCCCTCCTTTTGTAAATATTCCTTGTATGATGCAACTGAGAACATGTGAAAACAAAGACAAGGTTACATACAGTATGACTGGTCTTTAGGGCAAGGTGGGGCAGACGGTGGTGATGGAAAGGAGAAATGTGTTCCCAAGTCATACTCTTGTGTAAACCAGCCTGATTCAGGGGAAACAGTATTGAAGCCCACAGTGCAACTTTGGAGCCATCTGAATAGCATGAGTCAACTCAGCAGTAATGCACAACCCTGCTGGAGTATTCCCCTATTGGCGTGGGAATTAAGTTTAGGCCGCCTCCTTTACATGGCCCCTGTCCTGAGAAACATTCTATATTCCCTTTCACTGAGGAAGCCAATATTGAGAATGATGCCTTTCAAAAGGTCCTGAAACACCTCCATGGAGTGGGATAGAAATTTTTCCCATCTCCTGAGCAAGACCACACACTCTTTCTCCCTGCTGTGCTAGAGATGACTTCTGCCAGGTGGGAGAGATGCTGCTGATAGTGAGAATCTACATGCTGGTGATGGAAATGTGGATCTCTGGTATGGTCAGGATTTATTTCTGTCCACTGTCTTGTATTCCACCTAGATATGAACATTTGTAAGGCACAGGGCTTGTTAATAATACTGTGGAATATCAGTTTGTGAGCTGAAGGCAGAGACTAGGAATTCTGGATTCCACCCTCTTTGACTATGAGAAGTAAGTTCAAAACCCACAAGTTCCTGCATGGCAGAATGGGGTTGGAATGGATGACCCTTGTGGTCTCTTCCAACACTATGAATTTATGTTTTCTTACAGCTTCACATTCATACACATTTCCTCCCTAAATGAGGTTATGTCAGGCTCTCAGAAAGAAAGAAAAAAAGCATAATTATCCTTCATAATATCCACCCCAATAGCTAATCCTCTCCTCTTCCATTGCATACATTGTCAAGCATAGCAAACAAGGACATCATTCTTTTAAAGGGAGTGCTTCCTCCCCTTCAGTCTTACAGCCAGGCTCAGCATGCTTGGCTCATGCGTCAGCCCCCCTGCTATGGAGGAGCAGGGGGTTGTCATTACAGAAGCGGTGGTGGCAGTGGCAGGCCCCCAGAGGCCCCCACTGTTGTCAAAGGTTCAGCATGGGGTGCCATTGTGGTGTTGCACTTTGGCAGGTCAGCATGGGAGACTTGGCTTGGCTTTCGAAACTGGAGCTGTTTCCTGAAGAGATAATGTCCTCCATCAGTAGAGCACTGTGCCTAGACACAACCAAGCAAGTCATCTCCTCTCCTTACACAAAAGGACATCTTACCACTAGATCAGGCCTTCGCAGTTTGTCGTGGAGTGGATTCCACTAGTTGGGATTCTACCTCCCCAAGTGGTTCCTATTTGCCTTCTAAATCAGAGCATTTGAACCAGAGAAACAGATAGGCCAGACCACTGTGCCAGACAGAGGTGCCATTGTGCAACCCAATGGGAGACCTGTCTTGGTTGGGCGCAGCTACTGAGGTCAACATCCCTGTGGTTTAGGAGCCTTATGGAAATTCTCCCCCTTTCACCCTACAAATCACAGTAAGGTTGTTGGCAGCTAAAGAGCCATGATTAAGGCGATCTTCCTTAAAGATAGATGAAGCTGCCAACCCTTGGCTAAGTCCGTTGAACATCGGCTTTGCTAAACATCCGGCTGTGCCAGTAATCTGGGTTGTCAAAAGCACAGTCCGAGGCCTCCAGGGTCCGCAGGGGGTTCATGAACCCATTCTTTGGATAGGGGGGACTCTGGCTGTCAAGACACTGAACCGAGGGCAAGACGGCGTCCATTTCCTCGTAGCCTTGCTCATCTGGAGAGCCCTGTGTGATGCCCGAGTCCATATCAGTATAGTCTCCTCGAGAGCTGTGGATGCTGCTCAGGGATTTGCTGAGCTTGGGTTGCTTGTTCATGTACTCATAATCCTCCTCTTCATCACCTTCATCCCGGCAAGGCGTAGTTAGTTGGGAGCTGGGTACACTGCCCAGGGATGCACTCAGTTCTGAGCCCAGATCCATGTACTCATAGCCAAGCTCCTCTAAGGAGGCTGGCCGAGGCTGCGAGGATTTTGCAGGGCGCCGATTCATGTACTCGTACTCTTCCTCTGCTTCATGCACAGGGAGGGAGCCTCGGACCAGGGAGGCAGCAAGGCCAGCCGCACGCTCTGTACGGGAGAAAAAAACAATAGTCTTTGTCATCCTGTAGTCACCTAGGGTGGCCTAACAACCTTTTATAGGTGATTATCCCCCACAATCCTCCTGGTATGCATAAGAGACATGAATTGTGTCTCGTTCCTTAGCCATTATTCTTTCAGCTACAGTACTTACCTCTGCCACTTCGATCTGGCATGACATAGCCATTGACGTCTTCCTCTCCATCAGCACTCCCAACTGGAAGCATCAGGCTCTCTCGCTGAGACAGGTAGGCACTATCTCCACGGGACCGTTGGCTGCGGCATAGGCTCCCAGACAATGACAAATCCTCGGTGAGGTCATACTCTGAAGCTGTGCCTCGCCCCTCTGATGACTCCGATACGGTTCGACCCACCGACTCCTGCCTTATACGCAAAGTCTGCCGGGACCCCAGACCAGTGCTCTGTATTATAGGAAGTCAAGAATTACCTATAAAAACACATTTGACCAGGGCCACAGGCTCCCATTCTCCCTCTTCCTTAGTAAAATTGTAGTTTGCCCACAATGCCCTGCCTCATGCACAGAGGAAGAATTGTTTAAAGCTACAGACAATGCGGTCACTGTTGCCTGTTTTTGGTCAAAAATTATTTAACCGCTTGTGTTCCTCTATTTTTATCAGTTTTATACTTATTTATGTAATGCTTTTGACACAAAATTAATAAGTGGAATTGTCAAGTCTTAACCTATGGGACCCTAAAGACATACTATACCACCAGCACCACCTCCAAGTTCAGACATAAGTGGCAAGAGCTCCATTCAGTCATGGGCTATGGCAGGCCTACACAATCTACGGTCGAACAAGAAAAACACATAGCTGCTCTGATGTAAAAGCAGAGCTATGTTTGATCTTCAACTAAGACCAGTTTCCATCCTGCTCTCCATGCCTCTTGAACCAGAAACATCAGCAGTTGAACCCTCAAACCCAGAGCTGCCATAGATTCCCAGCCAGCTTGGCTACTGGTGGTTTCTGAAGACTACAAAATAACTCAAAGCTTTTGCTCTAGCCCTCTCTTCCTTCTCTGTGACAACTAACTTATAAGACAGGCTTCCCTTCTCTACTACTCCATGTTTGTGATACTTCTCTGACTGGGCATGCAGTCACTTATACTACATTAGTTTTGATTTCCATAGGGAAAGTGTTACCTGGCGACTTCCACTCAGGGTGCTTTGATTCATTGGGATGTACCCAGCAGAAGGATTCAGAGGATTTGGAGCCTGGAGATGTTTTTTGGAAAATAAAGCATGCATAGTAGTAAGTTACTCACATAATTTAATTTATACACAAACAATATTTTTATATAAACAATAGCACATAAGAAGGTCAGAGCCAACCATAGCCTCCTCAAGCTTGTTTTGGATGATAGAAACATCATTTTTGTGCTTTAAAAGTTTGGAATTATAGAAGAGAAAGAGATATTTGGAGAGGTTGCCTTAGCTGCTGAAATAAGTTTAAAGGCTTTGTGTATTTTGCACCTTTTCTTGGAAATAGTAGTTGGGTTGCACCATTTGTTTTTGTTTTTCTCTTTGTATTTTATACTGTTTTATTTTATTCTTATGTTTCACTTATTTTATTGCGATTTTATTTTTGCAGTTTTGTATTTATTTTACTGTAATTGTATTATCGGGCTTGGCCTCATGTAAGCCATCCTGAGTCCCCTTTGGGGAGATGGTGGAGGGGTATAAATAAAGATGATGATGATGATGATGATTATTATTATTATTTTGTTGCTCTGCCTCCAGCAGTTAAATGTCTTGTGTCAACCCTGCACCACATAGGAAAGTCTCTTCCATCGGGATTGGCAGCAAACACATACACACATACACAGAGGAGACAGAGAAAAGAGAGGGCCTTTTAAAAAGCTCCCCATTCTTAGAGACATCTATGAGGCAATATGTGTCCTATGTGGCAACAATCCTGCTGACAGAAGTGATACAATTATCGGTACATTCCTACACTGAAAGATCCAATAGCTAGATTGGCAATTCAAGAAATCTGTCAAGAAAGATCAAGGATTAATACGTTCAATCATGCTGCAACTTCAGGCAAGACTTTCCTCACATGGCTCTGAAGAATAGGAACAATGGGTGAAGCCATAGAAAGAATATGGCATAAATAGGGCAGAGCCAGGAAGACTCTCAATGTATCGGTGTAAGAGGTGGTAGTGGGGAGGGATCACTTACCCTTGTGGAGTCAATCCACTGCCTGGAAACAAAGAGGTTATTAAGTTCCTCTTCTTCCAACTCTGACTCCATATCCAGTGTCTCCATCTCATCCAGCTCCTTTTCAGTGAGGGGCGGTGGCTCAGCGTGGGGGAGTGTTCCACATTCTCTCTGTGGAGAAAGAAAAGTATTTCTCATTATGGTTACAACAATATGATTCTATTGCCACACCAATCACTGCTTAGCACTGCCATGAGGTTTCTAAGCAAAAATGGAATGTACAATTTTAGGATTAGAGTGGTCTTTGAGCAGCATCTCAATATAGATAAGTTTGTTGTTGTTGTTCATTCGTTCAGTCGTCTCCGACTCTTCGTGACCTCATGGACCAGCCCACGCCAGAGCTCCCTGTCGGCCGTTACCACCCCCAGCTCCTTCAAGGTCAGTCCAGTCACTTCAAGGATGCCATCCATCCATCTTGCCCTTGGTCGGCCCCTCTTCCTTTTGCCTTCCACTTTCCCCAGCATCATTCCCTTCTCTAGGCTTTCCTGTCTCCTCATGATGTGGCCAAAGTACTTCAACTTTGTCTCTAGTCTCCTTCCCTCCAGTGAGCAGTCGGGCTTTATTTCCTGGAGGATGGACTGGTTGGATCTTCTCGCAGTCCAAGGCACTCTCAGAACTTTCCTCCAACACCACAGCTCAAAAGCATCGATCTTCCTTCGCTCAGCCTTCCCTAGGTCCAGCTCTCACATCCGTAGGTACTACGGGGAATACCATGGCTTTGACTAGGCGGATCTTTGTTGCCAGTCTGATGTCTCTACTCTACTATTTTATCGAGACTGGACATTGCTCTCCTCCCAAGAAGTAAGCGTCTTCTGATTTCCTGGCTACAGTCTGCATCTGCAGTAATCTTTGCACCTAGAAATACAAAGTCTGTCACGGCCTCCACGGTTTCTCCCTCTATTTTCCAGTTGTCAATCATTCTTGTTGCCATAATCTTGGTTTTTTTGACATTTAGCTGCAACCCGGCTTTTGCGCTTTCTTCTTTCACCTTGATTAGAAGGCTCCTCAGCTCCTCCTCGCTTTCGGCCATCAGAGTGGTGTCATCTGCATATCTGAGGTTGTTAATGTTTCTTCCAGCATTTTTCACCCCAGCTTTGCATTCATCAAGCCCCGCACATCGCATGATGTGTTCTGCATACAAGTTAAAAAGGTTGGGTGAGAGGATGCAGCCTTGCCGTACGCCTTTCCCAATCTTGAACCAGTCTGTTGTTCCATGGTCAGTTCTTACTGTTGCTACTTGGTCCTTGTACAGATTCCTCAGGAGAGAGACAAGGTTGCTTGGGATGCCCATCCCACTAAGAACTTGCCACAATTTATTATGATCCACACAGTCAAAGGCTTTAGAATAGTCAATGAAGCAGAATAGATGTTTTTCTGAAACTCCCTGCCTTTCTCCATTATCCAGCGGATATTGGCAATTTGGTCTCTCGTTCCTCTGCCTTTTCTAAACCCAGCTTGTACATCTGGCAACACTCGCTCCATGTATTGCTGGAGTATTCCTTGCAGGATCTTGAGCATTACCTTACTGGCATGAGAAATATGGGCCATTTACGAAAGTTTGAGCAGTCTTCAGCATTTCCTTTTTTTTGGCATTGGAATATAAGTTGATTTTTTCTAGTCTGATGGCCATTCTTGTGTTTTCCATATTTGCTGGCAAATGGCATGCATCACCTTGACAGCATCATCTTTTAAGATTTTAAACAGATCAGCTGGGATCCCGTCATCTCCTGCTGCCTTGTTGTTAGCAATGCTTCTTAAGGCCCATTCAACCTCACTCCTCAGGATGTCTGGTTCTAATTCATTCCCCACACCATCATAACTATCCTCAATATTATTATCCTTCCTATACAGATCTTCTGTATAGTCTCGCCACTTTCTCTTGATCTCTTCAGCTTCTGTTAGGTCCCTGCCATCTTTGTTTCTTATCATACCAATTTTTGCCTGAAATTTACCTCCAATGTTTCTAGATAAGTAAAGATAAGTAAAGAAACCAAATCTCAAGCCTTCCAGGAATCCCAGTCCTGCAGGCACGCACACACAAACACATGTATAAATCTAGAAATTTTAGTTTAAAATCAGCCTAAAAAACTTTTGTCTGACTTAGCCACAGGGCTATATAAGGACTGTACTTTAGCTCTTGTAAAAAAAATAAAAAAAATAAAAGGACCATCCTCTTCTCTGAGTTGAGTGCCGAAAGGCAAGTGCTTAATCTGTCCTAGGAGAACCTAAAAGAAGTTCTACTTGCTCTGCTGTGGTGTCATGTCTGGCCTTTTTGAATGCCTGGGTTGGGAAATGGTGGTGCAGCTCAATGGTTGGCTCATGGGTCATATCAAAAGCCGCAATTTTAATCAAAAACTTTTGACTTATACATGAGGTCAATGTATATAATGAGTACATGCAGTCATTTTTAAGAGTTCTATGTAACTATACATAAGCATCCTTCTCTTCAGCCATGCTGCGAATAATCAAATACACACACTCAAAACCCCACTGCACATATAGTAGGCCCTTTTCATTCACGGGTTCTGCATTCATGAATTCAATCTCCTCAAAAATACATTTTTTAAAACCAAACGCTGATTTTCTGGCTTGATTTTCTGGCTTTGGATCTCTGCACAATAGTCATCTAATGTTTATATATGTTGTTTGATGTTGTTTTAAATTGTTGTTTAATTGCTTTTAATTGCTGTTGTTGTTTGGGCACACCTTCAGGGTGAGAAGGGTGGGATATTAATGTCATAAATAAATAAATAAATGATTGATTGATTAATTTTACCACATGTTGATGTGTAGGCATGCCCTGCTATAATGTCCTGTCTGTGTACTGTCTATACAAAGCGGCACTGAATGCTTGCTGTGTATATGTACTGGGATTTGTCCTGAGTCCCCTTTGGGGTGAGAAAGGTGGAATATAAATAAAGTGTTGTTGTTGTTATTATTATTATTATTATTATTATTATTTCTTCACAGATTTTTTTCCAAACTTCTTTTGAGTTGTTTGCCATTTTATATAAGGGATGCCATTTTACTACACCACTGTATATGTATGAGCATCCATGGATTTTGGTATCCACAGGGAGTGGGTGAGTTCTGGAGCCAAGCCCCAGTGGATATTGATGGCCCATTGTATTTCCCACAACATGCCAAACTGTTTGGTCTGGAGTCGAGCCCTTGCACTGAAAAAAAGTTCTGAGTGGAGACCTATTTTAGGACCCAGGTCTTAGAAAGACCAGATGCTTTCTCTAGCTCAGCACAAAAATTCAGCTGACACGCAAAAACGTTCACATTTTCAAAACAACAATTTTGCAGAGAAGGGGAGGCTTGTATAAGGAAATAATGGCTCTGTGAGAGAAGAAGAGAGAGGGAGAGTGGAAGAAGAAGACAAAAGCTTGTCTAAGATGGTTTCGTATTTTCCTATGATTGCACCAGACCACCAAAGATATGGGCTTATAGCAAAGACAGAAACAGGTGAAACCATCAGTTGTTACACACTTTAATGTGTAGCTTAGGCTGCAGAAAGGAAGCTGGATGAACGTAGCACTGACCTTAATCACCAGGTAGCGAGGAGGGTCACGGGCCATCCGTGTGAACTCATTGGCTAGCTCTTTGAAAGTGGGGCGAATGTTCTCATCGATCATCCAGCCTGTGGGGTTAGAGGTGATGAGTATCAGTCAGGCACCAACCATGACACTTCTATGATCTATAATTCCAGTCTATGGAATCAGGATCTCTTTTACACGGCACAGTTTCAGCACCATGATTCCACTTTAACTTCCATGGTGACATAATAGTCAGAGAGTTCCTCTAGCTGCTTGTGAGCAGACTACAAATCCCAGGATTCCATAAGAGGTTGCCATGATTGTTAAAAGTGGAGGTATAGTGATATAATTGTGTGGTGTGAGAAGCCCTTTGGCTTAGAATTATATCACTGGACAAAGTGGATCAATGGACCAATCAGCGAAGGAATGGGAAATGTATTCCTGCCACCTACATTTTACCATCACCATGTAGACGTCAATGGTGCAAATCTGGGGCTGTGAGAGACGTTCCCCTTTCTCCAGAAGGTCAGGCACTTCTGAGAGGTGGATTCCAGCATAAGGTTCACTCCCAAAAGTCATCATCTCCCATAAGGTCACTCCTAAAGTGGATGAAGAGACAGAAAATATGAATGAATGAGCGTACCATACAAAAGAATGGCCCTTGTTACTACGGATTATTACTTGAAACTGAGGTAGAGGAAAAGCTTGGGTAGTTGGTTTAAAAAAAGTAATTAGTTATAGTTGGCAGTTTCAAGGTTTCTCAAAACATGACAGCTACAGCAGTTTTTAAAGATTTTACTCTTTTTTCTTTTTAAAATTAACCCAATTGAGTAAGTAATCAACAATTACAATAGCCCCCCCCCCCCATTTTTTCAGGGGTTAGAGGAGCAGGGTCCCAATGAAAGTGGAAAAATCACAACTATAATTGAAATTGTGTATTTTTTTCATGAGAGAACACTTCTTTAAGCAGCTCTAGGCCCCAGAGGCATTTCTAATGAAAGTAACCTTTGAACAAATCTGCAAATGCTCAACCGGCAAATGTGAAGGGACAACTGTGTTTTTCTTAGAAGAACCACTTGAATATTACAAGCTACTACTCTCTTGTACAAATCCACATTCTTCCTCTTTAAGCCATTTTTGCATCAAAACCCACAAAAGTGTATGAGCCAGCAACATGAGAATGAATCAGTTTATCTCTGTCACAATTTAGTACAACCCTACTTTTTTAAAAAAATGCAGCAAAACCCTAACTTAACAAAATCCTTTCAATGACGATATCCTTCAAAATAGTATGGTAACATACCGATTGAATATACCAAATGTAAACACAAATTCATGTAGGTTTCATATATACCTAACAGACAACAGGAAGTAATGTTATAAACAATATTTTTTATAATGTTGTGCATGAAACAATGTCTGTGTACAATATAACATCAAGGCTTTCCATAGGCAACTACTTGTATGTTATAAATGGAATGTAGGACTAGACAGGCTTTCGGCCTGATACAGCCGGGCTCTCTCTCTGCTTCATGCATTTCCTTACCCTGCCTTTCTCTCTGCTTGTTTTTGGGTTGGGACACGACTATATATTGAGATACAAACAGAGTCTTACATACAACCAGATAAATTTAGACCAGATTTTTTTTGTTTGGAAACTTGCTGTGATTGCAAAAATCTTAGGAGGCAGCCTACCATAACTCCATACATCACTTTGGTGGGTGTATTTTCCAAAATGTATGCTCTCCAAAGCCATCCATTTTATTGGTGTCTGGAAAATACAAATCAGGAAGAAAAATTCAGATGTTAAAGTCATAAGTACATCACACACAGACACTTACACACATAGAGACATGCTATCTATAAGGCCCGCGTTTAAGGTGGTGAAAATAGGGGCAGTGAGGAAGTTGTTATTTATTTGGTCAGTCGCTTCTGACCTCATGGACCAGCCCATGCCAGAGCTCCCTGTCGGCTGTGGCCACCCCCAGCTCCTTCAGAGTCAAACCAGTCACTTCAAGGATACCATCCATCTTGCACTTGGTCAGCCCTTTTCTAGGTAAAGGTAAAGGATTCCCCTGACATTAAGTCTAGTTGAGTCCAACTCTGGGGAGTAGTGCTCATCTCCATTTTCAAACCGAAGAGCCTGCTAAGTTGGCAGAAGCTGAGACTAACAGCTGGAGTTTACCCTGCTCCCTGGATTCAAATCGCTGACCTTTCAGTCAGCAAGTTTGGCAGCTCAGCGATTTAACCCGCTGTGCCACCAGGGGCTCCTCTGAATGTACTACAGATTCCACTTCTAGGAATTAAGCAGCAATATCTTCCCTGAGACATTTTAGCAGATATTAAGATACAAGCATATTCCTCTCTTTTTCTCTCAGACAAGTACCTACCTTTATTTCATTGTAGAAGTATTTCTTGTCATCTGGATAAAGCAAATCAGCAATGCCAAAATCTGCCACTTGTACTTGGCTTGGGGATTTTACCAAAACATTACGAGCAGCAAGATTGCGATGGACCATGCGGTGCTCCTCCAGGTAGTACATACCCTGAACAAAAAGAAAGAGGGACAGATGAATGAATGTACTACAATACTAGAGTCATCTAGTCTTATTTTTGGGTTGGAACATTGTTGCAAAACAACAACAGCACTAGACCTCTAGACCAGCGGTTCCCAACCAGTGGTCCGTGTGCCACCAGTTCATTTAGCTGTTGGGAGTTCTTCCAGCAGGTCATTCCACAGTTGTGGGGTGGTAGATCCAGTACATTCATATTTACTTTCTATCTGGCACTATTTTACTTGTTTCAATAGTGAAGTTTGCATGGTTGTTGAAAAATCAAGCATTCCTGAATGAACAAACTAAAAAAATGAATTTTAAATTGGTACACTATATGGTTCTGGCTGCAAGAACCATATAGTGCACCAATAGTATACATAGGCTCAAAAATGGAAAAATACAGATCTACCACCAAGAGAAAATGTGATTGCCAAAATTCTTGAAAATGCTTGAAATGGCAGAAATTGACAAATTATCTAGTATGATAAAGAAAGAGTTCTTATAAAACTTTCCAAAAGCTGAGAACTTTTGATGACTTGTATCAAAAAGAAAAAAAATATGAAGGTGCTTGCGGGATTTGAAAACCCCCAACAAATTGGTAATTGCATGGTAGAATGAAAGACTTTAAATAACATGTAATAATAAGAAGCGGATTGTTTTTACCAAAACCTCTTTAGGTTGGTAGGCAGGAGGTACATTTTAATATATTCCCATTTTTCTTTTCTCTTTAGATTTGGTTTATTTCTTTAAGGCAGGAAACGGGGGTAATAAACACCTTATTTTACATTTTGCACATACTGTGTGTGTGTGTATATATAATGTGTAAAGTGTCTCACCCCACTTTATATAACAATATATGTAATACACACACACATATATATAGCATATATTGTTATTTTATTTATTTATTTATCGTGTCAGTAGCAACCAGACAATTGTATTACATTTTGTTATATAAAGTGGGGTGAGAGCAATTGCATATATATATATATATATATATATATATATATATATATATATATATATATATATATATATATATGGAAATGAAAGCATTTGTTCTCACCCTTCTTTATTACTGTTGAACCAATTAGTTATTTTAGATGGTAACCTCCCCACCCACCTATTCCACATACCTATACTCATTCTGGGTTTTCTCCATTTACTCTTCTATCTATTGCAATACACGGTCATAAATACTTTGTGTATTTAAGCAGCCAGGCTGTGTGAGTAAGACACTTCTAAAAATCCCCCCTTATTTACACCTATCTTTCTTTGTTCTCATACCAACAAGATGTTGTATTGAAAGTTCACTGAGATCTCCTTTTACATTAATTAGTTAGGATGTAGGAATTTGAAGTGTATGTGCATTTTAAAAACAATTAGTAATGTTCTTTAGTTTGCCATTTGATGCTGTCTCTTTGTTTCTTTACTTAAGTCAACCAAGGCTCATTATTTCTGTTAAACTCTGCTGAGAGAGGCTGTTTCCAATTTTCCCCCCAAAGGGCTCACACCCTGAGATAGACCTGTTTTTCTCACAGTGATAAACATTATTCCACATTCTTCTTATGAGACGGATGCTTTTTGGCACTTGTCTTTTCATATCAGCACTATACATACATATGTGTAAATATCAACGCCAAAAAAGCAACCCCCAATGAAAATACCTCCTGAAAAAAGCAGGAGTCATCTAGATATTGCATAACTAAATCGGTTTTGATTATAGAACATATGTTAACCCATAGCTGATTGCACAATAACTTGATTTGACTGCTGCCATTCCAGTGCTTAGCTATCTGTTGGCCGCTCTCAGCAACCATCAGGCCTTTGGGTCCTTTTCACCTCTTTCTCAACCTCTCATACTATGGTACTATTGATCTGTATGAGGTGTGATTTTGGGAATTAATTCTGGGGAATCCAGCCAAACAGCTAGAATCCATAGATGCCTTGGTTTCTCATCAGGCCCACGGAGCCCCCAATGGCACAATGGGTTAAACTCCTGTGTCAGCAGGACTGAAGACTGACAGAGGTCACAGGTTCAAATCCACGTAAAGCGGGGATGAGCTCCCTCTGTCAGCTCTGGCTTCCCATGCGAGGACATGGGAGAAGCCCCCCACAAGGATTGTAAAAACATCAAAACATCCTGGTGTCCCCTGGGCAACGTCCTTGCAGACGGCCAATTCTCACACACCAGAAGCAACCTGCAGTTTCTCAAGTCGCTCCTGACACACATTAAAAAAATCAGGCCCTCGCAATGCTGGCAATTTCTCTGCTGACAGCTATCCCATGTCTTTTCAGAGGGCACATCGTCCTCATAAAACGCATCCACCAAAGACCCTTCCACACAGCTGAATAAAATTCCACATTTTCTGCTTTGAACTGGAATATGTGGCAGTGTGGACTCAGATAACCCAGTTCAAAGCAGATATTGTAGGATTATAATATAGGGCTGTGTGGAAGGACCCTGAGAGGTGGAATGAGGAATGCTGCAATGGGGAAGAGGAGTCGTTTTGCAACTCCGCTTGCACCTAGCAGGTGCCAAATATTCTTTGCCCAATTATACGTTCTGCGTTCAGCCCACATATTTTTGTCTTCATTAAAGCTTGGGATTGTTCCTTGAATAATCTGAATAAATTACACTTGGGTTCTCAAAAGGAACAAGAGCAAGTGCAATTTGGGTGAAAGGTTTTCCTTCCCTCAAACAATTACCTGGGACTGATGATCTCGTGCATTAATTGCTGTGGGAAAGGACTGTTAATGAGGTATCCTAATATTCCTCTGGAAAGCCCGTGCTTACCTTGGCAATCTGCACACACCAGTTGAGCATCACCTGGGGGCCAATGGCATCCTTGTTTTTCCGGACATACTCCAGCAGTGAGCCCAGCGGCAGGAGCTGAGTGACAAGTTGCAGATGGGTGCCAGTACAAATACCCAGGAGGCGGACAATATAAGCATGGTCCAGGCTACCTATTGCCAACATGTGCTGTTAGGAAACAAACAATAACGTCAGGGCAAAAGTCAGTGCTAACTTATGCTCAAAAGTACAGAAAGGAGCTCGCTGAACATCAAGAAAAAGTATAGAATGATGTTGAGCAAAGACAGATTGCGAGCCAACAGGGGTACCATTGCTACACCAAAAACTAATTGGCTCGGTCCCCGTCTGCTGGTTCTAAGGACAATTGACTTTGAGGAGCATCATACTTGGCCAATACCAAGAGAAGCTAACTGGGAAGCTGCCTTTCAATGGAATCACATTGAATTTGTCCTTTTCCCCACTAATTAAGAGCTGGTGAGATGAATGTTCATGGTGCTGTGCCCCCCTCACAGATTGTACCAGCACAAGAGTGTTTGAGAAATAACCCAGCACAGAGTCGGGTTTAAGACAACTGCAACTCAGAATAATCTCAGTTAACCTCACTCAGCAACCAGCTTGTATATAAAGGGCAAGCCGCAAACACACTTGTGTGCCGGAAGCAACAACTGACGCTGCTTTTGGAAGGCACACCCTTGCCAACTCAGAAATTTGGCCTTAATTTCTTTGACACCTGGAAACGGATTCTGACTGTTCTTTAGAGCTTTCGTCTATCTGTTTTGTTTCCCTGGCTTCTGAATGAGTTTTTGGCTTTGAACCCATTATGACTAATACTGCTGAGGCTCATTGTTCTTCACCAAATAATTGCCAGCACCTGTAGACCACTTCTGCCATGGCTTGACACCTTTAAATTGTGCACCAAACTAGCCTGTCATTGAAGTCTCTTAGGGTTGGCATAGGCTTGAAATCAAACCAGAGCTTGGCATTATTAGCATTAGCACTTCTTTTTTATTGTGTCAGAAGTGACTTGAGAAACTGCAAGTCACTTCTGATGTGAGAGAGATGTTGCTAGGGGATGCCCAGATGTTTTACCATTCTGTGGGAGGCTTTGCTCATGTCACTGCATGGGAAGCTGGAGCTGACAGATGGGAGCTCACCCTGTCTTGCAGGTTCAAACTGCCGACCTTCAGGTCAGTCGTTCAGCTGGCACAAGGGTTTAACCCATTGAGCCACCGTGGCTCCAGCATTAGCACTAGTATGACAGTATTACATTTTGAATAAATTAATTTGTTAGTTTAAAGTATTGCATGCATCTCTACTTGGCCCCCATCTCGGAGGTTGCATTCCTCACTGTGGCTACAAACATAACCATGAAAGAGCAAAAGCTGTGTGTTAAATAAATGACTTGTAATGAGGCAGGACCTAAGCAGACATTTCCAACCCCTGTTCCAAAAAGATGTCTGCAACACTTACATCAGTGACAGCGTGGAACGTCTGCCGGCCACTTGGATCCTGGATAACTTTGATGCTGACAGGAATCTTGAGGGAATCTCCTTCTGGGATCCAGACACCCTGAAGGAATAGGAAGCCAGAGGAGATTAGCCATATTCTTGAAATGAGGAACCACGAACAAAACAATGGCCTTTGAGGAAGTTAGTCATCATAGCCACCAAGGACCTTTCCCTTCTATAATATTTCTACTTTGCACCTACATTTAAGTATCCACCCACACATCCACCCCATTCCTCTGTGGGTGGAATCGCTCCCTTTTACTTCTACTAGCTGCTGGAAAAAGGAATTCCTTTTCCACTTCACAAAAGGTAAAGAAAGGAGAAGGTTACTTTGAGGAAATGATTCCTCCAAGACACAAAGTTGTGATAGCTAGCTTGTGGGCCATATCTGGGCTACCATTCTGGCTTTCAGACCAAACTGGAGGTGACACTCCTAGCCAGCCCTTATCTTCAGGCTACTTCATTCAGAGAGCAGTTAAGTGGCTCAACCCAAGTTTCCAGGCAAGCCAACTCCCTTCCCAGCAAAAAAAGAAAGATCGGGAGAAGCTGCAGTATAATAAAGTGACTCCAAGCAATGTGCAAGCCATAACTACCAATGTGCACAAAATACCAAAGGACTCCATATTAAGTGTCTGTCACTAAATAACTTGGCTGGAGAGGATCTGTCTTATCGGTCTGAAGAAACTGGCCTTCCTTGTTGCAAAAAAATTCCATAGGATGATAAAAAAAACTTATTGTTCAATCCCACCCATTTCATCAGCTTCCTAGCCCTTCATCCACCTGTGATAGGTGCAGCAGTAAAGCCCATAATCCTTCTTCATAAACATTACATTATTGGGTTTTGCCTGCATTTATGGCAGGCATCCTTAAAGGTGATGCGGTCTGTGACCTCACAACCTCTGAGGATGCCTGCCATAGATGCAGGAAAAAACGTCAGGAGAGAATGCTTCTGGAACATGGCCATACAGCCCAAAAAACTTACAACAACCCAGTGATTCCAATCATAAAAGCCTTTGACAATACATTACACTATTATTCCTTGTCCATCTCAATCCTCTTGCTTGAGAATGTTATAAACTGAGCAGGACACATTTTCCTTCCTAGTATCAACTTACTTTGTGCACTGTTCCAAAGACTCCCGATCCTATAACTTTCAGCTTCTTTAATTCTGTCTCTTTGAAGATTCGGGCCAGGACTTTATTGGCTTTCTCACTGGGATCCAAAGGCTCAAAACTCTATAGGAGCAAATGGAAAAAGAGAAAGGGAGAAACTTTAATCCAGAGGGAGGAAAATGCAGCCCATGGACCTCATGAAGTCTCCAACCTTTTTGCAACCTCTTCAAACTCCCTCAACATCTCCAAAGGTCCCAGAACCCCCCAAAACTCTTCAAAATGGAAGAGGCTTCAGATTGGTAAATCACTGCTCCTAATGAGGGGTTTGCTCTTAAACCGCACAGCTTCACCCAAACCAGAACCACCTCCAAACCCGATAAAGTAGATGAAAAATTAATTAAAAATACAGGAAGTGTACACAAGAAAGAAATACCTGATAACCGTTGGCCTTTGCTACAACTGCTTATTCACCTCTGCTTTAACCCACACTTTTCCAGATACCCTATTTGACAAGGGTATCTTAATTCACAGTGCCTTTCCTTTTCACTGAACTTGCAGCAATTTTAACCTATTTTAACTCATTTGAACATGTTTGATAGGACCATTGCAGTGCCAAACTAAGCACTGTTAACATTCTTTCAGGGACTCTCACTTTTTCCATACTAATCCTGAGGTTTTATAGCAGCCTTTCAAATCCCAAAAGCCTCACAAAAGTGATACTCTTGACCATTATTGAGTCATCTTCGAGGAGATAGAAATATAGTAAATAAATAAACGAATAAAAACTTCTGAAGATATTCAGCCACGGATGAAGTATTTTAGTTCTTCACTTCCAGATATTTAATTTCTACCTAACCTTTACAGACAATGCAATCTTAAATTGATTTATTCTGAATTAAGCCCCACTGGATTCCATGATACTTTCTCTATGTAAAGCAGCAAAAGACTTGCATCCTCAATGGGTTTCTGTCTCTCACTGGAAAGAGACTCTTGAGTATTAAGGTAAGTTACTCTCATCACCTGTCTTGACTCAGTATGACAAAAATCTAACTGGCTCCTGAGACCAGAAGTGCCCAAAGAAATGGGGCAGTCTGACTTGGGCGCACACAAAGCACACAACTCCTAGGAGGCCTTTGCCATATTGTATTTAGCAGCGATAGGACCCCAACAAGATATCTATCTCAAGACCAATTTAATCCCTGGATGCCCCTGCATCTAGTGAGCAGGCCAACATGCCCAATGGCTTTTACTTATGAGATGTCACAGCTGTACTGTCTTACCTCCCCTCTTTCCAGGTATCTGCGCATGGCCCGCTTCTTCTGAATCTTCTTGCCACGGCAATACAGGAAGGTGAGCAAGACACAGGAGCAAAAGGCAAAAAGGCATCCCACAACCATCACAGCAATCACTGTTGGGGGTTTCCTAGGATGCAAGCAAACACTGGGCTGTTAGAAGGGACTATGTGAAATTATTATTATTATTATTATTATTATTATTATTATTATTATTATTTCTTTCTCTACAAAAGAGACTCAATGCACCTAATAGTAAAACCAAATGAAATACAATTTCAGACCTAAAAACATGCGTATTTTAAACAGAATGAAATATTAATGGTGTTAAAGAGCAAACTGTGGAAGTGTTAGCAAGAAAAATATGATAAAAAAACTCAATTAGAGGAGTGAAAATCAAAAAATAAATTATGAAATTGAGGCTCTTTGCAGGTGATGTAGTGATAGGAATAGAAGAGCCCATAGAGACAATGCCTAAAACATTGGAAATTATTGAGGACTTTGGAAAAGTGGCTGGACTTAATAAACAGAACACAAAAAAATAATGATTAAGTATATCAAGCAGCAGGACCACAAAATCTTGAAGGAAAAGACACATATTGAGATTGTCAACAAAGTCAAGTGGCTGGGAATCTACTGAAAAATCTGGACCTATATAAAAAAAACTATAAAAAATACAAAATACAACATACATTGATAACTATAGAAGTTTCTTTGCTGGGTAGAATATCAACTATTAAAATGAATGTTCTCCCGAAAATTATGTTACCCTTCCCCATCCTTCATATATTTGCCATAGAATTATATGGAAAAAGTACACAGTTAAAATCCTTAAAGACTGTGTGTGTCAACTGTAAAATAAGATGCATGAAGCTGATTGGTTGGGCAATGCCTGGTGAGATGGCTGAGCCTGGGTCTTTTGGTTACTGTCACATTTTTGTTCAGGTTTGAGCTATGCAAGTGCAGACAGGGAGAAGAGAGACAGGGTTTGGAGTGTGCTCTTGCTTCATGAACTGCTGAAGGAGTTTATCCACATGGACAAAGAAAGACCATTTTAAATCTCTCATAAAAGGACATTATGTAAGTTGATGCAACTGATCGCTTTGTACATATGTTGTTCTGAACTCCAAAGAATAAATTACTTGTTCTTTATTATCATCTTAATGGCATATTTTCTTTCTCTGGCAAGGCAGTGTGTGGGCTGATCAAATGTGAACTACATGTGGTTTATTTTACATTACGCCACATAAGGCAGGTGAAACATTTTGAACAATCTAAAATAGGACACATGTACTAATCTATTGTAATTTATATAGGTGGCAGAGTTTCTTTATTTCTTGGTGCATAACATTGATAAGTATAATTAAGCCATTGCATGGATAAGCCAAGCAGAGTTGCAACCAATAGGAGGAAACACCCATGCTCAAATCTGAACCCGCCCCAATTCTTTGCTTCTCTGCCATATCCTTAGTCCGGTTCACCCCAAAGGCATTAGAAGAGGGGGAAGGAAATGAACTTTCACATGTGGGTGGGAGGAGGTTCCCCCCACCATCTAACACTTTCTAGGGGAGAAAGCAAGCAACCGGGGAAGGAGATCAAAGTGCCATGATCCACTCCCTCCCCTTTGGCAACAGGTATGGGCCTGCAGTGGCCCTGCCTTCCCTTCATGCCGCCCACAAAAGCCTCAAGGCACATTGGCACCGATGGCAGAAGACAGTCTGGGGTGCAGTCATCAATCAAATAGGAAGGGAAAGCAGGGAAAGGGTGAGAGCAATAGCCCTTTCAAGCCTGCTCTGGGTAGGACAAGTTCTTGATTAGAGGGTTCTCTCTCCAAATTGATAAAGAATTATGTCCAAGTCAACATGAACTTTAAGATGCAACAAGCAACAAAGTGCAATCAGCCATAAAATGTGAAGTGATTGTGGGAATGAGAACATCAGAAAGAAGAGTTATGTCCTTGCATAGCCTCCAGCATTTCCCAAATGGAAATGAGGACGTATGTGGCCATTCACAGTGTGAGCAAGATGAAAAAACCTCTGAGGATGCCTGCCATAGATCCAGGCAAAATGTCAGGAAAGAATGCTTCTGGAAGATGGCTATACAGCCTGGAAAACACACAGCAACCCAGTGGTTCCGGCTATGAAAACCTTTGATAATACATAAGATGAAAAAAAATATTAATAAAGAAAAGTATGGTCTAGGAGAGGCTGCTTTTGCCTGAGCCTACTGGGAGGGGGAGATTTTGCCTCCTTCTCTCCCTGCTGCTGAGTTAACTGAATGTAAAGTATTTTACATTCAGTTAACTAAGGACAAAAGGAAGAAAGAGAATTGGAATTGGATTTTTTTTTTAAGCCGAGGAAGTGGGACAGAGCACTAATTGGAGGTGTCCCTGGCAGAGCAGGATAGTCAGAGGCTATGATTTTGGTTGGTTTCCCTGCCTCAACCTGCTTAAAATCTGGAGGCTCCTTAAAGAACCAGTATCTGAAACAGGGTTGATCTTGGGGAGAGTCACTGATTTAGGGCTGGAAAAGCAACCCGAAACAGGTGTCACTTGACTGAAAAAGTCAGAAGGAGGAAGAAAGGCAGGGGAAGGGGAAGAACATACAGAACTGGATGCCTTAGTGATTTATCTCTAGGATCTTAACAGAAGGAGGAGAGAACTATAAATTTTCAAAGAATCTTCTAACTTCAAAGAAAAAAAAATACTCAGTTGTTAGTAATAGTACTCAGGCCAAACTGATTATACAGCAAGGAAGACAAAGCAATCCATATTAGAGAATTCAAGGCAGTGTATACAGTTACCAATTCAGCCAGGTTTTGTTCATTTTGTCCATGCATTTTTCACTTCAGTGAAGACACTTCACAATCCTGTCTACATTATTTTTGGGTGCGCGCACTTGATTGTGCAATAATTTTATGTGCTGGGAAAATAAACTGGTGCTTAAACAAAATTAAGGCCTCTTTCAGAAGGAAAACCCCTCAAGGTCTGAAACCTAGGTGAGGAGAGACTTTCAAAAAAGAAATCTCTGCTTCTGGGATATATCTGTTTGTCCCATGTCTTGTAAGTTTTTGCATTACATTGTGTAAAAAATTTGAAAAATTTTCTGTTCCTGGTTTGAAAGTGTTATTTCCTGTTTAATTGTGCAATATTTACTTAGTTGATATATATTTACAACAACTATAGTTGTTATGCTCCACAAACTGCTGAATTGGTTGCGACTCTATGAGATACTAACTGAAAAACTATAGTAAAATGTGCTTTAGGATGTCCTGCAAAAACAATGTTTTTGCAGTTTAATAAACTTTTCCCATTTTTTTAAAATTATAGAACCAATTAGGAAATAACATTTATAACTCAGGAACAAAAATATGTTTTTTTGGGGATAGAGTGGTACACAAATCATTATTATTTATTATGATGACATGGTGTTAATTATTTATTATTATGATGACATGGTGTTAATTGAACATAAGAGACTAGGCTGTACACTGAGTGCAATCTTTGGTCCATCTATCCTTCTCTGATTAGCTCCAATCAGGCCTGTAGCCAGGGGGGAGGTTTTAGGGGTTCAAACCCCCCCCCCCCAAAATTTCAGGTTAAAAAAACAACTATTTTTTGGGCTATTGTTGGCCTTACTAACTTTGCATACCTTGTATCTTATACCTTTTATGGAGCAATAAGGGTCTTTGGATTGTATTAAAAATGTTGTTGTTGTGTTATCAAACTACTCTTCATGATTTGCTAAAAAAAAAGTTTCAAACCCCCCCCCCCCATTTTTTTTTTTGCTACGGCCCTGGCTCCAATAATCCATCCCATCAAGCCAGAGACTTTCTGAAAGCCCTCTAGTGCTATAGACCAAAGGCTGACACTAAGACCCTCTTCCACAAATGTAAGTTTTCTATTACAGAACAATAATAGTAATCTTCCATGAGAATAAGGCCCTTCTTATTGTGTTTATAATCTAAAATCACAAAGACACCAGGAAGAGTCTTTCAATTTTAACAGTAATTGGAGGATTTATCTTTCCTCCAATTTATCAAATTACTGGGAAGAAGACAGTTACCCGACAACAGCCATTTCCTCCACGAAGCAGTCTTCAATGTTTGGGCCATCACACCTACAAGCAACAAAAACAAATGATTAGTTTGGGCTGAAAGATAGAGAATCCAATCTGTCTCCTAGCAGATTAGAAAAACAGGACCCATGCATTCTGAGCTGTACTGTATATATAACTGCCTCCTTCAGCAGCACACAGACAATGAAAATGAAAATATATGCCCCTTCCCTCTCAGCAGCTGGCCATGACCGAGGAGAACAGACACGTTTTCAAATGTTAAAGGCTATGCTCTTTTTGCTTCAAAGGGGCATTGCAACTGAAGCTGTTCACAACATAAAAGTGTTGCTGCAAAAGTGTCACTGCCACAGGAACAATGTCTAGTCTTGTGGATCTTACAGACTAACATGCTTTATCTGGCATAAATGGGCTGTAGCTCACAAAACATTATCAGTGGTTCTCAACCTGAGTCCCCAGAGGTTTTGGCCTTCAACTCCCAGAAATCCTAACAGCTGGTAAACTGGCTGGATTTCTGGGACTTCTACGCCAAAAATCTGGGGACTTTCCACATATGTTTGAACTCATTGCCCTTTTATATTGCAATTCCAAGTCTCTCCCAGTCAGAGTCTGGAAATTTTAGTCTTAAAAGGTAATTTTCCCAAGGTATGCCCCCAAGTTGGGACCTTGGCATACAATTGCCCTGCTGGCTGGAGAATTCTTGGGGTTGTATTCCCCCCCAAAATGAATATTTACAAGCTATGACTTTCAATTCTGCTTAGGGAACCTACTATCGTACCAGGCAGTGACTCAGAAACCTTCAGCTTGGGTAGGATAATTTTTTTGAAAATGAGATTGACCTGGCTATTTATTATATTGTTTGCTTGTAAAGCAGCTTAGGAACAACAGCTTGGAGAGTGTGCTCTAAAAACAGTATGTCTTTTATAGCACAACACACACACACACCCTTCATTTCATCCTTACCCATGTGTGCAGTTCTCATGGCATGACCAGCACTCCCTGTTGGCATCAGGGTACTTGAAGATAAGCCCTTTCTCCCCTTGGATATTCTTGGGGCAGCTTTCCACACAGTGTGGCCCATCCTTGTAGCCTGAGCAAATTGTGCAGGCATCGGCACCCTGAGGAGGGAAAGGAAATGATGTTTATTGGGGAAACCGTCGCACCCCTCAGGAAGGGAGAGACCCCAAGCAAGCACTAGATTCATATTTTAAAATCAGTTTTTAAAATTATATTGTAATTTTATGTGGCAATGTTTTACCATGCTGAATTTCTGAAATTATCTGTTTACTCCTCTCAAAAAGTGCTTTATACCTAGCCGAAATAAAATGATAATTCTGGGTGCACTTCTCTGCATGCACTTTACATTGCGTGGTGAGTGCAATCCTAAAAATACACCATCCCAAGTGACTCTGCCTGGGGCGGATCAGTATTGCAAAGATGAACACCCTCCAACTGAACTCAACCAGCTGATCTATTGCAGACTCTTGGAAGTATGGGAAGGATTCAGCTGCTACTGGTGGTGGAATGGAGGAGGTGGAAAGAAAGGGAGGGCAGACAGAGCAGTTGGGGTGGGTCCTGGTGAATGTGCCAGAAAATACAGCATTGGCAGGCCAGGCAGGGTCAGGAAGCCAGGCTTAGGCTGGAGCACTAGGTATGGCTTCATCCACTCCATCATACCCAATAGTTTTTTGTTTTTTTTTAGAATGGAGGAAACCAAATCAAAAATTGGAAAATCACATGAAGATAGTTTCACTGGGAGAAAAGGCAGAAATCTAAGGAACCCTGAAAGGCTATACTGGATTCAGTCCTGGGATGTGAAAGTCCAATAGGTTCACTACAGAGCAAGGTTTTAACATTTAAATCCCCTGGGCTATTAATAAACAAGAAACTCCTAGAGGAGACTAATGGAAGCGCTTCCCATTAGTCTGCCTATCTATCTAATTATCTATCTATCTATCATCTATCTATCTATCTATCTATCTATCTATCTATCTATCTATCTATCTATCTATCTGGCACTTCGGATAGCATAGGGAAGGGTTAACACTCCTGTAGTGTTTGTTTTGCTGGCTGTGTCTCTGTTCAGAAGATTCTGCCCCACTTTCTGTCCCTGTGATAATTGCATTTAGAAAAATTTGACTTGTTGTGGAAACAAGGAATGGAGATAAAGTTTTCACCATGATATTTTGTTTAGGAAAAAAAATCTACCTGAATAGTAGTCTTTTTAAGTTGTTGTCAATACTGGGGGCTGCCTTGTTTACCTTAAACAGTGGGATGTAGATGCACAATTTAATCAGACACATCTTTGCTTTATGCACATACACATGTACACACATAGGAGCAAATGCCGGAAATATGTAACAATCCCATACCAAACCATTGCAGGTGAGGCCTCCTTCAATCTTCTGGCACTGTGGGTGGCAAGAGAAGCAGGCACCACCTTCTGCAAACTCACGAACCTCCCTATAGGTAGAAAACGAGGTGAAAAGAGATGTTAGGAAGCTGAGCAATTATGCAATAGAGAAGAGGGGTTGCTTATGGAAGGTTATTCTCACCCCTCAAAGAAGTTGCAGGAACCAACGCAGGTTCCATCCCGACTGTAGTTGAGGCAGGTGAGACAGTTGTCTGGCCCAGGTCCCCAGCAGCCGTCATGGGAGCACAGAGGATCACAAAGCTTCCCCTCTTGCTCTGGTTTGAGAAACAGAGTGTCATGGTTACAACTGGGACCAAGGGCCTTATCTTCAATCGGGAGTCATATGCATCCTACAAAGGCTTTCCTGGACTACCACTGGTCAAAAAGGCCGGGGGAGTCTAAAAATATTACTTTTCTAAATTATTGTGACTTCCTGGGGTGGTAATGCAATCTCCCGGATGCATTGTTACTAAATTGTTAAAAAGGGAAAGGCCAATATTCAACGTTGTAAGCAAAATATCTTTTGGGAATAGCAGGGATCCAATTTCTTAAATGCCCATCCATTCAAATGTGTTGCACACAGGCATGAATAACACAAGTACTAATAGCCCATGAGTCACTGGGCAGTAAGTGAAACATTTGCTTTAATGTTACTTCATGGCCACCCATCATGGTCTGCCTGACTGACTTTTGTGTCCTCAGTTCAGCCATCCTCTCAAATGCTTTATACTTCAGCTCCCATAATTCCTGATTGTTTGCCAAGCTAGTTCAGGCTTTTGGTAGTTGAAGTCCAAAACACCCAGAGGACCAAAGGAACCATTGCCTTAGTTGATCTGATGTGATAGTGGATGGTCTACAGGCCAAGGCAGATGTGTGCAAAAGGAAATTAATAGTTTTTAACATTTAAGTGTTGCCTACTTGCCAGTGAGATTTGCAGAATCTTGTTTAAGCCAGTGGATATGAAGGAGGTTACCAGTTTGGGGAGGTTGTAACAGCTAGTATAGCTAGAATAGCATTTCCATGGAGTTACATTAAAGAAGCAGCTCCCCATGTTGTATTCATTTGTAATGAGGGATGACAGATGCTGTGACGAAATGAGTGAAAGATATAAATGTATGTGTCAACATACCTTAAAGACACCAGATCCTACCAGGTGCTGTAGGCTATAATTCAGAGAAAGAAGCTACAGTACCCTTGAGTATTTCTTGGCCAAGAAAACCCTCTGAAACTCAGCATAGGTAGACAAACTGAGTTATTGTTTTAATTGGCATTGTTGTTCATGTTGAATATGCATTTTATGTAATTCTGCTTTTTTAAACCTTTGTATGCCACTTTGAATCCCACCCATGGGAGAAAACCAGGATAAAAATGAAATAATAATGATAATGATAATGATAACCATAATGATGATGATGATGATGATGATAATAATAATAATAATAATAATAGTTGACAGGCAACTTGAAGGCATGCACAAACATACATCTAACTTTAGAATGATTTGTAAGAACATGATCTAAAACCAGGTCTGATTTTGATCTTTCTATGGCATTTCTGCTCTAAGAAAATTCTGAGATACTTGTAATTGGATTCTTGCTATAATAGAAAAGTGGGGAATTCACTTATTTTACTTGATGCCTATGCCTGTGTGAGTGTGTGTGTGTCTTTATAAATCAGACAGAGTGGTGTGAAAGTGAGTATCTGCACACAGTCCAGAGAATATTGACACTTTAACCTCTATGGAACTCCCAATTCAACCTCCATCTGTTTGTGTGAATGTATCCTAGTATAGCAGGCACCCATGTCTCCTAGTCCAGAGGAAAGTTTTGCTGACCACACACTCACTGCACTTCTTGATAGGTTTGTTGCTCCTAATATCAAGATCTGAACTTCGGCGTGAGAGACGTTCCCAGTTGATGGTATTGTAATAGCAAAGTTGTCGGTTCTCCGTGATGTAGACTTTGCCAGCACTTATCTCCTGAAGCGAGCTGAAGTGCAAAGAGGTCACATTCATATTCTTCATGACCAGCAAGGAAAACCCACGGCTAGCAAAAAACAAACAAAGAACAGGTTAGTCGCAGGAGGAAGAATGTTGTGATGACTGGGAAGAGACAAATACATGTTGCTTCAAGTGGCAAGCATTGAAGGCCACAGGCTCTCTGCAGTACAGCAAACATGGTTTAAATGTAGAACAGGGCTGGGCTTTAGCACAGTAGGTTAACCATCAGCTGCAATAAATCTTGCCAACCAAAAGGTTGACAGTTCGAAGCCTGGGTCAGGGTGAGTTCCTGGCCTTTAGCCCAGTTTCTGCCTACCTAGTAGTCTCAAAAACAGCAATGTGAGTAGATAAATAGGTACCGCTTAAGTGGGGAGGTATTTAACACCCATAAAGTAATGCCAGAAAAATGCCGGCAATTCGATCAAGGAGGAAATTTACAAACAAAGCTCTTCGACAGGGAAAATTGGAGTGACAGCACCCCCTGTGGCCGGAACCGAGCATTGCCTTCAAGATGCCGAAGATGGGAAAGCCTATATATACCTCTATTTATGTACAATTGTCTGTCTTGTCAGTTGAATGTTTGCCGTATATGTGTTCTGTGATCCGATCTGAGTCCCCTTCAGGGTGAGAAGGATGGAATATAAATACTGCAAATAAATAAATAAATGAACTCCAAACTAATCCCTGAATAACGCATAGGGGAGTGTTTGCACATGTACAGAAGTATGTGTGCTTATTTATTTACTTACTGTATTTCTATACTCCTTTTCTCACCCCTGAGGGTGGGGGGATTCAAAGCGGTTTAGAACATACTAATAGCAAAATTCCATGCCTAACATACATGTAAAAAAATCATAATATCTAAACAATAACATATGAGTTAAAAACATTAAGACTATTAAACATAAGATATAAGCAACATGTAAACATTAAGACATAGCATTAAAACAACCTAGTATAAACATTAAAATCACATGATCCAAAATCGTATGCACATGTCTGTGTTTGTGGGTTGTTAGTAGGTGACAAGATTCACTTTGGACACTGTAACCTTTTCACCTTTCCTTGCCCACGGCTTTCCAGCAGATCTTCTGGGCAGGTTTGGCCTTGAACATCACAGAGGAAACAAAGGAGCCCTAAGGCCCTCGACAACTCAAGAACAAGGCAAAGGAGCAATGCTTACTTATAAAGGCTGCGCCCACCAATGGTGACCAGGTTGGCGAAGACGCTGAAATCTTGCATATGTTTGGGCCATGACTGGATGTTCAAGTACCCTAAGTGGAAGAACAGGATATTAGTGGCTTCTAAAGTTCCTTGTCCACAGTCCAACATCACCCAGTGACACCTCTCTAGTATACTCTCTATTTTTCACATTTCTGTGTAATTCCACAATTCCTTTCCTAAATAAAAAGCCCTATAAACTTGGTCCTTTCTAACTTTCTATCTCCCGTTCCTGTTTACATCATATCAATAGCACAAAAAGCATTTGACTGAAAACCAGTAGGACACAATCCTTTTTTTACAGTCTATATTTAGATAAGAAAATGAGCCATCTTATTATTTGTTGCCTCTACAGTCCCAGCTCACCTGTGATCTCTTGCACCGTCCGGAAGATGTTCAGTTTTTCTGGGTTCAAGGCACTTATATTGTGCCACGGGTCTCTATGGGAAAAGATCATAGCAAAGATGAGAGACCAGCTATTGGTTTCAGGCAGAGCCATCTTGAGAAGCAGCATGTATTCTTTTTTAGAAACTTATTTTCACAATCAACATCCATGGCATAATAACCACTTCAATCTTGGTTTTACTAATATGACTAAAACTTGTAATAATAAGCCAGAATGAAAAACCATGGATGTCCAAGGACCACTCTGACTGTCAATAAATTGCCACAGTAGGTTTTTATAAAATGCCTATAGTTAGATGGCAAAGGAAGAAGTACTGGTGTATGCAGATCATCTCTCTAATAAAAAACAGACATGATGTCTGGGTTGTTGTAGGTTTTTCCTGATGTTTCGCCTGCCACTATGGCAGGCATCCTCAGAGGTTGTGAGGTCAGATCTCACAACCTCTGAGGATGCCTGCCATAGTGGCAGGCGAAACGTCAGGAGAAAATGCCTCTAGAACATGGCCATACAGCCTGAAAAACCTACAACAACCCAGTGATTCTGGCCATGAAAGCCTTCAACAAGACATGATGTCTACCGTAACTCCAGCTTGTTGAGAACTTAAGAAAACGTTTAGCTACATGAAAACCAACCCAAGGTGGTCGTATGACCCACCCCCAAGATCCCCTTCCAGTTACCTATGCCTGGTTTAGAGCATCAGACCAAGACAAAGGATAGCCTAGTACACTTACCCTTCCAGACCAGTGATCAGGAAGTCCAAATTTCCCAGAATTTTGGTGCAGTTGATAAAGTTGTCAATATTGCTGGAATCCACAGTTTGGTATTTGCTTCCAGGTCCAGTGCCTTCACAAGCTGATAACAAGGCAAAATTACAAGTGAGGAATGTTCAAGGAGGTGAATGGTACCAGTTTAACATCCCACCTTGCACATTACTTCCCTAGAGCAGACAACGTAGTCAAGAATGGCTTGGTTTTGGGCACCGCTACACCGTTAGGTGTCAATTCTCATACTGATTTTTGAAATTACAAAGTACACACAAATATATGTCTTATACAAGACTGCTAGGTGTACTGTGTTATAAGGGGTGACTGGAAAGCCATAGCCTGAATGAGATACATATCCATACCCCACATTTTTTTTAGTGTGGGCTCTTCATAATGGCAAAAATGTGTGCATCGTGTCATTTATAAAGGTGGACAAATATGGTAATTTTACAGATAAATACATGGTTTGGTTGTTGTAGGCTTTTCCGGGCTATATGGCCATGTTCTAGAGGCATTACATGGCTTAATTTAATTGAAATCAGTACTGTCATGGGGCACAAACTTGTTAATAATTATTTCCTAATAACCTGGCATGTCCTGAATTTTGACTCTCCCTTATTGCTATTTTGAAAATCTGGCAACACTAGTCTTATAAAATTCAAAGACCACCCAAGGCCAGCACTCCCTAGGCCTAGTCCCAGATCATTCATGTGAGATATTTTCATTTTGTGTTAATTTCTTATATTTATTTGAAGAGTTGTTGAACTAATTTGGCATGCGTGTCTGCCATGTTTGATAAAGGCACGTGGCTCAGAACTGCCTACATAACAAGGCCATTGGGGGACTTTCTATTCCAGGAGCCAGCAGAAGCTGAAGCTCACACGTCACTGCAAGTCCACCTGGAAACCCCACCAAATGAAGTTCTTCATTCTCTTAATACCTTTTGGGCAGAGTCCCTCACAAGGCTCACATATCTTCTGGCCATTTTTTTCAACCTCCATTTTGTGATGAGGACAGGTCCGGACACATGAGCTCTGATCCACAACAAAATTATCTGCAGAAGTTGTGAAAGAAGGTGTGAGACAATAGGGAAGAATGCAAACATGAACTACAGTAGATCATCTGCTTTCACAGGGGTTAGAGGTGTAGGACCCTGCAAAAGTGGGAAAACTCATAAATTAAAATAAACTTTTTTTTACCCAAGAGAACACCGTAAGTCCTCTAGCCCCACGGGCATTGACCACATAATTGCACTGGAGGACCTACAAATGCCTAGAAAATTATGCTGTCTAGGAACCTCTGGGTCAGTGGCTCTCAACCAGTGGGTCCCCAGATGTTTTTGGCCTACAACTCCCAGAACTTCCAGCCAGTTTACCAGCTGTTAGGATTTCTGGGAGTTGAAGGCCAAAACATCTGGGGACCCACAGGTTGAGAACCATTGCTCTAGGTCATTCTGTAGGAAATAAACCACAGGGTTGGGCTAGAGGACCTAGAGAAAATATAGTAATCAAGTCTGTGAAAAATCAAAATTGGCAAAAGCTAAAGCAGAAAACATGGAGGGCTGACAGTAATTATTCAAAATGTGTGTGTATGTCTCTCTCTCTCTCTCGATTTGAGAGGAGAGAAATAGGTTCTTTTGGGTTAAAGTACAAGGTTCAAAGAGGCTGTGAGACAGGATGATCTCCAGTCTGGAAAAATAACTAAGATGAATTAGGTCACTCTATGGAAGAAGATTGGGATTTCATGAGTGATAGCCTATGATGATAGGATTTCAGATTCTTGGATTTCACCTTCAGAAAGCTAATCAGAATTGTAAGAGTTGGAATGGTACAAGTCAGGGTATGACGATTATATGGCAAGGACTCCTAAGCTTTCTTCCAGGTTATGACAAACACCCAATGTGACTTCCTCTTAGTTCCAGGAACTCTAAAACTGTAAAAATGTATTTGACCCAAGGAAAAAGCAAAAAATCAGTTCCAATGTACCATTTCTAACAGCAGAAGCACGCATCCATATACCCAGACAGTTAGAGAAAGGGTTGTTAAATCTACGTACTTATTTCCTGTCAAACCATCCAGCCTCTCCTTAAGACAATGCATATCATATTGAGAAATAGCTGATCTCAGTTCATACCTTGGGCCCTTCCAGACAGGCCCTATGTCCCAGGATCTGATCCCAGGTTTTCTGCTTTAAGCTGGATTATTTGAGTCCCCTCTGCCAGATAATTTGGGATAAACAGAAAACCTGGGATCAGATCTTGGGATATAGTGCCTGTCTGGAAGGGCCCTTAGATTCCTTGTATAACCCCTCAAACAGGTGTAAACTAATTCTCCATGGTAGCTCCTAACCAAAGCAGCAGTCAAATCATGTGGCTGGCATGCTGTAGGCAGTTGTTGCTATGTGACTTCTCCATACATTTGGGAATTCGTAAACAGTAAAGAAGCTTTGAGACAAAACACCTGCTTCCATAGAGTACTGCCTCACAAGAGAGGCACTTCTGCCCATATGGTTGGATTGTCCCTTAAAGAAACCCCCTCGGGGGTAGAGAAGGACGGGGTAGAAGTGCCCGAAATAAATAAATAAACAAACAATGTTTCACACAATGCAGTAGCACAAGGATGAGGACCCCCTTAACACAATTTGAGACTTACGAGGGCAGTTTTTAACGCAGATGCTACCATACTGATACTTGGTGTCAGGGTTGGGCTCCAACTGGAAGGTGAGTTTATTGTAAATCAGCGATGGTGGACAGAGTGTTTCACAAGCGCCACTGTCATTGAAGAACCGGCAGGCCTAGGATTGAAGAAAGGGGATCAGGTGAGAAAGAGGCACTGGTCTCAGTCATTTCAGACCAAGAAAGTTCAGTTAATATAATAATAACTTTATTTTTATACCCTGCCAACCATCTCCCCAAGGAGACTCGGGGTGACTTACATGGGACTAGCCCAAATATTACAATAGAACGCAACAGATTAAAACATCAAATATGAAAATATAACAGTCACAATTGTAAACAAATATCAGTTCTGTTATCATAACTAAAGACAGACTTCCCCATCCTCACAGCAAACAAGCCTCAGACATAAAGCTGGACATTGGGATCTGGCTACTTACATAACACTCCGTCTTGAGTGGGCCCGTGCATCCTACTGCACACTCATCATGACAGCATTCATTGGGGTTGGGACCAAAACAGCGTCCATTGCACTGGGGAGCACAGATGGTCTTGGTCACTATGGCAGAGGAAGGAAGAAATATTGGTGAGAAGCTGTCCATGCAACAAATACCACCTCCTACTCCTACTCTCACCTATCCAGGGCCTGGGCATATGACCCACTTAATTTGGATTAGTTGCCTCTTAACATAGAAACTTTATGCAATTTTCTTAAAAAGTAGAGCACAAGTGTATTCTATTTTTAGTGCCATCATCATACAACCCTCAGTTTCAACACTATCCATGTGATATTATAGCAACACTTAATGAATGGGAGAGGAACTGATCTTGCTGGCTCTCACAACTTCATATGCCAGAGATTTAATCAATCTTCATATGCAAAAGATTTTAAAATGAAAACAAAACCTTGCCTTGAGTGAGTTGTGAGATGTTTGTGGGGCCTCAATGAATATGCCAATGTGCAGAGGGTTGGCAGTAGGGTGGCAACTATGTTTCAGAGGGTTTTATACTGCTGGGTAGGAGTTCAGGCAAAAGCCAGTGTGGTGCAGTGGTTTGAATGCAGGACTGGGATTTAAGAAGATCAGTGTGTGAATTCTTACTCAGGCACTGAAACATTTTGGATGGCTTTGGGCAAGTCACATTCTCTCAACCTTGTTAAAACTTGTCACCACATTACCATTCTCACAAGTTTTGCATTTCTGTGGCTATTCACCCACACAGTCTACTTATAAAGGTCTGTTCCTAGGCAGTTCAATGAGAAAACAGACTTAGCCAATGAAAGCTTATGCTACCAATTTATGTTCTCTAGGTCTCTAAGGTGCTACAAGACCCCTTCACATCTTGATAATACAAACAAACACAGCTTTTTCTTTGAATTCTCTCAGCTTGAAAAGAAAGCTATGACAAACTGCCTCTGGACAAATTTTGCTGAGAAAACCCTAATACAAGGCTAAGGTAAAGCTTTCCCCTGGCATTTAGTGTAGTTGTGTCCAACTCTGGGGGGGGGGGGGGGGGGGTGTTCATCTCCCTTTCTAAGCCAAAGAGCCGGCATTGTCCATATACACTTCCAAGGTCAAGTGGTCAGCACAACTGCATAGAGTGCCGTGACCTTCCTGAAGAAGCAGTACCTATTGATCTACTCACATTTGCATGTTTTTGAACTGCTAGGTTGGCAGAAACTGGGCCTAACAGGGGAGCTCACCCTGCTCCCTGGATTCGAACTGCTAGCAAGTTCAGCAGCTCAGTGGTTTAACCCACTGTGCTACTAGGGGGCCCATAAGTTAAACACTACCATAAGTTCAAAATGACTTGAAGGCAAACAACAACAAATGTGTGTTTCTTATATTTACTGAAGGAATAGAAGGATTGCCCTATTAGAGTGTTTAAAAACTGGATAGAAGGCCAACTGTTTAACTGTGCTTTTGCTTCCTGTCAATTAGGATGGATAAACAACAGGGAAAGAGTGCGCTTTCCTCTTGTCCCCAACATATCACTTCCAAGGTTTATGGTTTAACCAGAGTGAGCAATTAAAAGAGACCAAGTCATTTATCTGGTTTAAAAGACTGGTCTCACCTCTCAGGGTAAAGGGAAATGCTTGATCAACTTTTGCTGACCAGAAAGAAGAAGATTCCTTCAGTCCCGTGGTTGTTGTTGAAAGAACTATGATGCTTCTCTTGTTCCAACCTGCCACGAAGACAGGTAAAGTCCTTTCCTAGAGCACACCTTAAAGCACCCATCATATCTTGTGCTTTAGTTGACCAAGTTCATTCTCCAAAGATGGATGAATATCAGTTTCTCATTCAAGGGCACCACCTGGATTAGGTCTCAAGAGTCATTGGAACACTTACATTTTTGACAATCCTCCGGACCAGGACCCCAGCAATGGCCATTGCAGTTCTCATGACATGGCAAACCTGGAGGGGAACAAAAGCACAGCATTAGCTACTGAAATGGGCAGGATGGCTGACAAATAATCTCTAACATGTGGTGTGTATTTATTTTGTGGTTTTCTCATATGTGCTGAACCTCAGGACAAGTGTGTTACAGTTTTTGAAAATGTCCCTGTAATATTTAATAAAATATTAAATAAAATATTAATATTTTATAAAATCTATATAAATAAAAATGTAATGTTCGTTTGTGGGATTAACATAATTCAAAAACCACTTGACGAATTGACACCAAATTTGGGCAGAATACACGTATCAGGCCAACGAGTGACCATCAGTCATAAAAGCACTGAAAAACACAGCAGAAAAGACTTTAAAAGCCAAAAAACAAAAATACATTACAACATAAAACCACACACACAAACACACATATACACAAATATATACACACACAAAACACATATACACAGACTGGGCCACAGCAATGAGTGACAGGGGATGGCTAGTATTTAATATTTAATAAAAATATCTATGTGGGTCCATCTAAACCGGCCTAGTTTGGTGAACAGGTTGGAGCTTTGACTAGGACAGTCTGTAAGGGAACACATCCACACAGCTACTGGTTGACATACTCACACTTCTCCCCATTGTCTTGGACCACTGCCTGGGAATTTGGATCTCGGATAATGTCCTTCCAGTCAATAGTGTCCACATGACACAACTGCTTGTTCTTCCTAATGTAGACATTCCCAGAGAGGATTTCTGGAAGGCAAAAGGGGCAGCATGTGATCACCTTCCCTCTTGGCAATGGGAAACCAAATGACTTGTGGAGAGAATTTGCCAGCCCGATAAGTTTGGGATTCCAGAGTTTGACAGAGCCCTATTCCCAAATCTGATTGGACAAAGTTCTGGAAAATTGGGATTTCTGGAATGAACATTTCTACTGATTCTTGAGGTCATTTGTCATATTCTATGAATACATGGGAAGAAATGACCATGAGAAGTAGTCAACTGTATTGATAAGGAAGTCAGAACTCGGTACTGTAAATAAGGCTCTTTTTTGCATGGTTTCGATATCTGCTTTTTGACATACACCTGACAAAGTACTGCCAAAATCTCCAAAACAGCATCATTTTTGCTGCTCCACTTCCATTCTCTTGTCAGTCCAACAACCCTTCCCAAGTCTGCAACCTCTAATGACACTACAATTCTTATTTATTTTGTGCTGGGAGGGTAAGTGCAATATTACTGCATTGTTTTATCCTACTTTGCATGCTGTTATTTGGCTTCAAAATACAGTTTTAAGCACTAGCAATGCCAAAGGCACTTTCGTGTAACATGGAACGCAGCCCAGGTAATTCTGAAAACCCATCCTGTCTCCCCAATACAGGTTTCTTCTGTCAGCCAGCAGAGAGATCAAGCGATGGGAAAGCTGATAGACAGGTGTTGTCTCTTGGTGCCACTAACACTCAACAACAACAACATCAACATCAACCAAACCGGTTAGTTGAGGCAAGAACCTAGAACAAGCACTGACTTGCTCCTGTTTGTCTGCTTTCCTCTTTTAACTCTACTAAAGGATCCACAGGATCTCTTATTTCTCATATGTGGCTTTTCAGTGTTGCCACCTCCAGTCAGTCAAGAAAACCTCAAGCTCAGTCCTGTATCAACAGAAAGATCAAGGATAATAGGAGCCCTTTGCTAAATCACAGGGTCTAAATACCCTACAGGCACTGGACCCTGTCAGATCATGGAAGTTAAGCAGGGTCCAGCCTGGTTAGTACTTGGATGGGAGGCCAGCAATAAATACCAGGTGCTAAAGGCTATACTAATGAAGGAACTGGAAAAACAACCTCTGAATGCATTTTGCTTAAGAAAACCTTATGAAATTCATGAGGTTACCATAAGACAAGTGACTAGATGGCATGCGTGTGCACACACAACATCTGAGAGTAGAAACTACCTTCATCTGTCTGGTTGACCATTCTGATTCATCTAATTAAGGTGCATTTTCAACATAATATAAAAACATCTTCTCTGAAAGTCACCAATCAAGTAGTAAAATGAAACGTAATTATTATAGGAGCTCTCTACTAAACTATAGGGACTAAATACCTTTAGGCACCAGAACGCATCTGATCTGATCTTGGAAGCTCAGCCCCAGTTAGCATTTGGATGGAAGACTGAGGCTGGATCTGCGATATCCTGTATTCCAGAATCTGATCCCAGATTATCTGCCCAGATTATCTGGGATAAACATAGCCTGGAATCAGATCCTAGGCTATGGTGCAGTGTAGCTCCAGCCTGAGAACAAATAGTAGGATTTCTGTAGGCACAGGAAAGTGTCAGGAAACAGAAGCTACATTGTGAACCACTTGCATTTTAGAAGTAGCCAATGTAGGGCTTGTAGCACTCATCTCACACCTGTTTAGTACTTGGATGGAGCCCCCAGTGGTGCATTGGGTTAAACTCTTGTGCCGGTAGGGCTGGTTTGAATCCAGGGAGTGGGGTGAGCTCCTACCTGTCAGCTTCAGCTTCTCATGCAGACACATAAGAGGAGCCTCCCACAGGATGGTAAAACATCCAGGCGTCCCCTGGGCAACGTCCTTGCACACAGCCAATTCTCTCACACCAGAAGCAACTTACAGTTTCTCAAGTCGCTCCTGACACGGAAAAAAAAGTACTTGGATGGGAGATCAGCAAGGAATACCTGGTGTTATGAGCTGTATTCAGAGGAAGGCAATGGCAAACCGCCTGTGAGTATTCCTTGCCAGAGAAAGCTCCATGAAAAGCATGAAATTGCCATAAACTGAGAAATGACAAAAGCACACACTTTTGCATGATCTCTTTGGGAAAATGTCAAGATGCAAAACAGTTGACATTCTTCTGGAGCAAACAGGGCCAGATTAAAATATCCAGAGATCCTCATCTGTGTCAAGTTTAAGAAGCCAGGCAGCATGACATTTTTTTGTTTTTGTAATAGGGGTGTTGTACTTAGAGACCCTTCATAATCTGATGATCAAAATTGTGACTGGCATGTTTGTAAATCTAGCCCTTCTTGTAAAATAATCCTAGGATTATCTTGTGAGAAGTGAGACAAGAAGTGGCATTGTATCTCACTGCTGATTAAGTTGGTTCAGAGTCTTTTGAAAATTGTGCTATTGATGGAGCCTCTTTTGTTTATAACCATTTTCTCGGTTTTAACATTCCTTTCGATCCGACCCTGAAAAGAGGCTCTGCCCCACAAGTTGTTTACAAACTTCTACCTTATTCAATAACTTTAGGCTTGGCCAGATAAAGAGATAAGTGCTTTGACCGAACTGTCAACTCACTCTTCGAACTGATAAAGTGGCAGTTAAGTCAAATCCTGGGTGCTAATTGGCTAAGTATATCTATAAATTCTTTCTGTTGATTGGACTTTCACCCATAAATCTCCAGATCAGAGGGTAAAGATACCGTCTTCTGTGATATGATGTGAAATACAGAGGGTTGGTAAGAATAGGAACAGAGCTATAGGTTGTCTTAAGACTATTTGGCCCAATATTAGGTTAGAAATAAAGAAGCATGTTTTCTTATTTTATCTGATCATCGAAGTCCCGTCAACCCTGAGCCTCTGCAAATTGTCTTGCTTGGAAAGAAACATTTAAAGAGAGCTCACCCCGTTCTAATTTTGTGACACTGGACATCCTTTTACTTAGTTCTATATATAATTTGAAGGCAGAGGGTGGAGTAGGCGAACCCCAAGATTTCTAAGTGATAACAATTTTGTAATTCCTGCTAGTTACCGGGCTAGGATAGTGTAATATTGGGCAAAAACTGTATTCCTACAAGATTTGAGAGAAAGAGAGAGGGGAAAAGGAAAGAAAGGGAGAATTCTATGAGTAATAATGATTTTTCCCCTTTGGCTAAAGTAGTGCCATTCTTTGAGCCATTGGCTGCCTGACCCTGTTGAATTTCTGTGAAAGAAAGAAATAATTCTAGCCCAAGGGCATCAATACAGGACTGATCCATGACACACTGGACTAAGATAACTGCCAGTGTTTTACATTAGGTAGCTTGAATAGTTATAGAGACCACAATATGGAACTTAAGAATTTTTCACTGAAACTCTGAAGTTCCAAGACCACAAAGCCTTAAGTCACATCAGTTGCTTACTGTGTGTGTTTTGTCTTGTATCAGAATTTTGTTGCTGCCAATTTTAGAAAGAGAATATGGACTACAGAAAACAGAATTGAGCAGTGATGAATAAAGGAACTCTTCAGCTTCATACTAGCATCTCCATCTATTCTGCTTTCTAAAATTTAGCAGAAGTTTTTGAAAGGTTTAACTTCTTACATTCCAAGACATATATGCATTTATTTAAAATATGCATATAAGACTTCCCACTTAAATAGCCCAAGTGGCTTATAGTAAATTATTGTATGCAAAGAGAGAGCCAGCTGGGTGCTGTGATCTGAATGTTGGACTATAACTCTGGAGACCACGTGAAAGCTTGCTGGGTGACCTTTGATGAGTCATATACTCTCGGCCCCACAAAACCCAGATATGGCTTTAGGGCTGTCAGAAGTTGGAAACAACAAGAAAATGGGGTTGCTATGAGTTTTCCAGGCTGTATGGCCATGTTCCAGAGGCATTCTCTTCTGACATTTCATCCATATCTATGGCAGGCATCCTCAGAGATTGTGAGACCTCACAATGTCTGCAGATGCCTGCCATAGATGTGAGTGAAACATCAGGAGAGAATGTCTCTGGAGCATGGCCCTACAGCCCGGAAAACTCACAGCAACCCAGATTTTCCGGCCAGGAAAGCCTTCGACAACACAACAACAAAATACTTAAGAATCACAGAAGAGAATCCAGAATCCGAGAGAACACAGCCAAGCAAACTCTTAGACACTTCTTCCCAGAGAGTTAATCTCATCTGGCAGTAAGAACAAGCTGTTATTCGATGTAGATGTGAACTGCTCAAAACCTAGTTTGATCTGCAGCCAGTGAGTGAATGTTACTTCTGAAGGATAAAAGAGCAAGCCTTAGAGATCAAGGATGGGTCTGCATGCGTACCATTTCAAGCCTCTAGACTCCTTCAAAAGAGCTCAAAGAAATGGCTGGTACATTTAAATATCAGCTTTAAACACAGAGACTTCAAAACCCCTTCTGTGTCTCACACTATTGATACAAGCCCAATGGATCTAATTACATTTTCTTTCATCCTCCTGTTCCCCTTCTCTACAAAATGTAACAGTGAAGATACCAAAGCAAATTCCCCAAAGTCACAAGTAAAGGCCTGTCTACATGCAGATTAATCTTGTGTAACCGTTTTAGCTTCCATCAACGAATCCAATGAACTCTTGGTGAAGGTGCAAATAATTCTCTGATTCAAGCCCACACTCTCATTGCAAAATGATGACTTCCAGAATTCCCGTCTTATTAAATGAAGCACAGACTTGCAGCCCTACTAACCAAGGCTGGATCTACACTGCCCTATATCCCATGATTTGATCCCAGAATATCTGTTTTGAAGTGGATTATATAAGTCTCCACTGCCAAATAATCTGGGGGAAAAAGATAATCTGGAACATAATCTGGAAATAAGGTTGAACACTGTGAAAGTCATCCACTGCATGGCTATCAGCATCCTCCCAGTAGACTAAAATCATGGGAAAGCTTCATGAGAACCACCACTTTTCTTAAGGGTCCTCCAGCAACAGCATGAGCATCCCTTTGGGCAGCTAAACCAGGAAATCCCAACTGCATGGCCCCCACGAGGGTCTTTCTCCAAGGGCAAACCAAGAATGGGCAACGTGGAAGTCCCTGGACAGACTCAGAAGTGGAGTGAGCAAATCAAAAGACAACCTGGAAAAATGGCACTACCTAAAAAAATCCTCCATCCTGTGCAACTGTGAAGTAGAATGGACAACTCCGCATCTGTATGCTTATCCACAATGTCTTGCCTCATGCACAGAGGAATAATTTTTTGAGGCTAGAGAAAATGCAGTTGCTGTTGCCCGTTTTTGGTCAAAAGATATTTAGCCACTTGTGTTCCTTCTATTTTTATCAGTTTTATACTAATTTATCCAGTGCTTTTGATACAAAACAAAAATAAAATCGATGGTACTGGCCTAGCAGTTGCTCACCTAAAGAAATTCACAGAGATTAAATGTGGAAATCAAGTAATTGCATTTTTTGTAATCAACAAGAATTTAATATTTCAGAACTAGCTGCTGGGACGTTTCTATGTATATTTAGGAACATATCCTAATAGAGTTTACCCTAAGAGTAATCTGGGATCATGCTTTAAGAGGCACGGGCAAACTTCAGCCCTCCAGGTGTTTTGGACTTCAACTCCCACGATTCCTAACAGCCAGTAGGTTGTTAGGAATTGTGGGAGTTGAAGTCCAAAACACCTGGAGCGACGTCGTTTGCCCATGCCTGCACTATAAGGAAGGAAAAAGACCAGCTGGCTTAGGTGGCCCCAAAAGTGACACAACAAGTGATGATCGTTTGGGCTGACGGTGCAAAATCCCAGCAGTGGAATGCATTTTCTACTACTTCAAGGTGACATTGAAGTCATCTTATTTCTTCACTGAGCAATTGTACTCCACCCAGCAACAGCCCAGTGTCCCACATATGTTGACTCCCTGTCAATATACCCCATTTTGCCTGCAAGTAATAGCTCAGGGAGAATGATTAGCACAAAGGACACAATGGCTTATCCAGCACTTTGTGCTGTTTTTCTAATCATAAATATTGTTGGGTCTCTAAAGAAGCTTATCTACTAACTGTAAAGAGAACAAATGCTTGAATCCTACTGTTAGTTCCAACTAGAGCAGATCGAAAGAATTAATGGGATTTAACAAGGTTTGATTCATAATTCAACAATGAGATCAATGAATGAATTTAGTTTGTACTGCCAATCTAATCCAGGCTTTCAAAGGATTCTGCCAAAGTATTTTATTTCTTCTACCCCACTCCCACTTTTAGCAGTGTAAAGTACACGGGGCAACATTAATTTGGGGTAATTAATTTGGGGAAAGTAGATAGTAGCCCTACCCCCTAAGAAATTAGATAAGTACATATGGCACACAATAAAAGCCCCCTCCTTTTTTGAAATTATTGTTGTTAAAATGATCCAGAGTTTGGGGAGATACAGATTACCATAAGTGACATATATGTGTTTGTTTGTTTTTTTGTCGTGTTAGGAGCGACTTGAGAAACTGCAAGTCGCTTCTGGTGTGAGAGAATTGGCCGTCTGCAAGGATGTTGCCCAGGGGATGCCCAGATGTTTTGATGTTTTATCATCCTTGTGGGAGGCCTCTCTCATGTCCCCGTATGAGGAGCTGGAGCTGACAGAGGGAGCTCATTCACACTCTCCCCGGATTCAAACCTGCGACCTGTTAGTCTTCAGTCCTGCCGGCACAGGGCTTTAACCCACTGCGCCACTGGGGGCTCCTACATATATGTTGATAAGTCATAACCAATTGCTGCTTTCCAGCAAGAGTACATGCATCAATGTTAGCAAAATAAGACATTCTGCACCTGCATAAGCTCTTTTTAGCATTGTTTCGAATGGCTAGACGTTGAAGGCACCAGCTCAAGGAGACAAATTGGGAAGGCAGATGGGTGGCCAAAATGATTAAGATGTCTCCTGATCGCACAGGAAGACAACCTCAGTCTATTCACCCCTTCCTGACCACAGGCCATTTTCACCAGAGTCTTGGAATACTATTTTATTTTCCACTACGAAGGTTTCACAGTGGAAACATGTCGGTAAGGAGCAGTGCAGTGCCACCTGTTTTGTTAGTATGAATCTTCAATCCTGCCATTGACCCACCTGTGAGTTGGTTGAAGCCCACTTGGTGGAGGGCATGAGTGACGTTCTTTTCATAGTTGAGGACGATGTAGAGCGCATACTTGTCTTCATAGTATTGCGTCCCTCGTATCATGCGCAAATTCTGAAGTGGCAAATATGTGAAGACATTCATGACAATCAAAACATAGCCGGTAACTTCTCGGATAGTCTGGAAAGAGAAAGAGAAATATTAAGCACCTCAAAACACCCACTGGATCATTACCAAATTGCACTGCTAATCATTTTACTCATGTGGTCACCACTCAAAACAAGCAACATTTTGGGATTTCTGGACTTGACAGGAGAGGAGAGTCATGTTCATTTCCAGTCATTGGCTCAGCATATTCTCATTTCATGACAGATTGAGAAATAAGCTAAAACCAAGGTGTTTTGCAAGGGAAACATTTTGGAAATTCCACCGAGAATCCTAGAGCTAAGGAGGTCATTCTAATACTGTTTTGAGAAGTTGGATTGCAACAGACTGTGTCTTCAAGGGTGAGCTATTGCCAAGCAACTGTGAAGGAGCTGGCTAAGTGGTTTTCACTTGACCCATGGAAGAAAGGAATGACGAAAAGAATATCCACTGCCACGACCAATCATCCCTCACTGGAAATGATGAAAGTAGGTTGGAGAAAAGTCTGGTGAGTCGGGGATAGCAGATGCAAAATTCTTCTCCTCCCCATTGCGTCCATTTTTCCTTTAATGGTATTTGGAGACAACCTACATATGGAGGCCTGCCTCCATCACACGCAAGCCTGCCCTACTTTCAAATTCCCACATTATTTCATGGTACACACCAATCTTATTTGCATTGCTCATAACATGAACAGCAAGAGTCATTACTACATTACATTCTCCCTCTTCCGAGATTAGACACAGTTTGCTCTTGTTTCGCAGTGAGACAACTTGCTAGAATGTCTGATAACATCTTCTATATCTCTGTGTTTAAAGCATTAAAGCAAAAGTAATTTCTGAGTTTCACCCTAGTAGCTACAATTTGGTTTCCCCTAGGCTGGGGAAAAGGGTTATTAAACTCCAGTCTGAATTTGCACTTGCCAAGAGTAGAGCATTCATGATGCACATCTCCCTGAAAAATCTTACCTCACCAAAGTAAAACACCCCCAGGAGGTATTCTACAGCCAGCCAGATTACTCTTTACTTTGCAACAAAAAGGTCAAGGTGGGAGCCTGTTCATGTGCCCAACAATCCTAAGGAGTAAACTCTAGCTGCTCATGATTATTCAGTACATGTTTGTCCATTTAGCTATAAATTAACATGGGGGGGGGGGAGGTATACTGATTATTTCCCATTTCATTCATTGCTGTGATATTAGTTTAGCCCAGGCATGGGCAAACTTCAGGCCTTCAGGTGTTTTGGACTTCAACTCCCACAATTCCTAACAGCCGGTCCATCTTGCTGTAACACAGTTCCCATCAGGCATAGCCAACTGCAAATTATGATGGCCTACAGTACAGTAGCATTTACATTCCTGGCTTAAAGTGCCTTAATGTTGCAAGGAAGCCAGGATTCATACCCTCTGGACTAACAGTCAGTAGGCTGTTAAGAATGGTGGGAATTGAAGTCCAAAGTACCTGGAGGGTCAGTGTTTGGCCATGCCTGGTTTAGCCCCTTGCAGCAGTATAGCTCACTTCCAACATTAGATATGGGCTTATGGGGGTAGAGAGCTGAAGTGGGGTCCATGGTGCTGTAACACAGCTCCCATCAGGCATAACCAACTGCAAGCTATGATGGTCTACAGTGCAGTGCCCACTGTGTTCTATTTCTCCATCATGTTATTTTGAAACTGTTTATTTTATTTTGTTATTTCATGTATTTATTTTGATGGTATTTTTGCTTCTTGTATTTTATTTTGCTGTACTGTAATTTGGGCTTGGCCTCATGTTAGTCGCCCTGAGTCCACAGCAGACAAGATCACTCTGCTGACTGTTGTATTGGATCACACTGGACACTTCCAAGTGTCTAGGACTGTGTGATGTATCGGCAAATAATGCGTGCAGATCCCAGTAGGGTCCCACCCCCTTCGCAAGTGCGACTTCTCCGTGGTGGCCCCTCAACTGTGGAACTCCCTTCCCAGTGACATTAGACTGGCCCCATCCCTCCTGGTCTTCAGGAAAAAGCTAAAGACCTGACTTTGTACACAGGCGTTTGGGGAGTAGGGTAATATGGAATTCAACCTCAACCTAGCAGTCTGAATAATAACTATGGGAAAACCAAGAAGTAAAGAAATCATGACTTAGCACTTTGTATGTTTTTAATCTGTTTTATTGTATTTATATGTTTTAACTGTGATATGTTTTAACTGTTCTATAATTTGATATGGTGTCTTTATTGCTGTGTGCACGATGCGGCATTGTATTTTTGCCGTAGTTTGTAAGGCTGCTCTGAGTCCCCTTTGGGATGAGAAGGGCAGGATATAAATATAGTAAGTAAGTAAGTAAGTAAATAAATAAATAGGAAAGGGTTGGGAGGCAATTGCTTTCATGCATAACATGGCTCCAGGTAACAAAGGATGGATATTGTCTTCATTTCATATTAAGTGGAAGTGACTCTTATAGCAAAAAGGACTTTCCCTTGTGAGATAGAGAAGGAATGGGCACGGAAAGGGACCCTGCGATTTCAGAAAACATTGTTACTTGTTGACAACTCTCTTTGCCCTTGGAAGGAAGAAAGTTAATGCCAGTTTTGATGAGCTGGCCCCATTTGCACAATCGCATTGCAAAGAATGCTTCCCACTCGTAGTGGCACGGATCCCACATCCCACAGGGAAGCTTGGTCTAGATTAACATATTACAAGGCAATTGAGGGCTGGATATCACAGCTTCATCCTGTGGCTCAGAGTTTAAATCTCCATTGCCTCAACTGTGGATTGCAGCAAATTGCCCAACCAACACAGAAAACTTGAGCCATATATAGGTTGTTGATTTCTCAAACGCCTTTTCCTTCCACTCTCCAAACTGCCTTTATTCTAATGATAGAGAAAAGGAGCAAATGGTTCTTTTGGAGGGCCACAGGAGCAGCAATCCATTAAGACTGAAAAATATGCATTTTTCAAAAAGTGGGCATCTTACAACTTCCAGTTCTCTGTCTTTTGGGAGAGGAAGAGGGAACATTTTGGACAGTCTATGCAGTCCCCTTGGTGACCCCAAAGGTGGAAAACCGCTTGCTCTGCCCTTGCTTCTGTTCATTCCTAAAGTGCAGCCTTGACTGAAGAGTCATGGCATTGTTTCATATCTCCCTCAGCCTTGGCACTGGCCTGGTGCTCCCCACCTAAAGATGCACTTTGGCTCTTTGACAAGGCAGAGATGAGGTGCCGTGCCACATGCACAGTCTTCCCGCCTGGTGCCTGCAAAAGGCAAGTCGGAGCAGGGCCTTGTCTGGCTAGAACTCTCCAAGCAGGTGAAACGAGGGAAACGAAAAGAGAAAGCCACTAGCATGGTATTCCCTGCAAGTGAGATAGGTTCCAAGGATGAAAGAGAAAGAGCAGTTCAGTGTTGCTCACTTCACAGCCTTCAAGCCATAGCATCAAATCCACTTCCATTTTGCACTTCTATCCTGTGCCATATCTATGGCCAGCCATATCTCTACCAAGAGGAGTGTCTATTCATGTCTGTCCCTGCCCCGCCCTCCTGCCCTCCAATTATTATTATTATTATTATTATTATTATTATTATTATTATTATTATTATTGAGGATTTTATGAGGATTTAAAGATTGAACTGCAAAGACTGTGGCACAAGCCAGTCAAATGGTCCCAGTGGTGATCGGCACACTTGGTGCAGTGCCTAAAGACCTTGACCTGCACTTAAATACAATCGACGCTGACAAGATTACGAGCTGCCAGCTGCAAAAGGCCACCTTACTGGGATCTGGACGTATTATTAGCCGATACATCATACAGTCCTAAGCACTTGGGAATGTCCGACGTGTGATCCAATACAACAGCCAGCAGAGTGTCTACTGTGGACTCATCTTGTGGTGTTTCAAATAATAATAATAATAATAATAATAATAATAATAATAATAATAATTGAACTTTATTTGTATCTCGTCCCCTCTACCTTGGAGCGGCTTACAATAGTATAAGAATATAAACAAAATACATGATAATAAACATATAAACAATTTAAAAATTAAGTAGACAAAACAATAACAAAGCAAAATACATGGAAAATTAATAGAAAAGATGTTAAGTATAACACAAGAGATATCATCACAAATAAAATAAAATAAAATAAACAATACTTATGCAATACTACCATTAAGTCATCCCAACCATCATCCTAGAGTATGAGAAAACTACTGCAACTTAAGAAACCTCGACCCTGTGATCAGGCTTTAACCTATTTATTAAGTAGTCAGCCCCACTAAATACAAGGAAATATGATAGTTCAGAATATACATGATTAAAATAGCACTATTTGATATGATATTTTCATACGTTTGTGCCAAGTTATTTTTCTTTTGTGATTCAGGTGTTTAAATGTGTTTAAAGGTGTGGGTGAGAGGACAAAAAACAGAACAGGTGGAACAGGAGGAAAAGTATGTAGACTTTCAAGCTTTTCTCTCTAACAGGGTGGGGAGCATTGTTCAACCCTAGGGCTGGATTCCAATTTGGGAGGGGTCTTGAGGACTGTAGTGCAACAGTCGGTGGGGCTAAGGGCATGGGGGGGGGCAAAGACAAGTAAACAGGGATAAAGTCAAAGATGTGGGACCAGATTTAATGCGTATCAATGTGGACATTCTCCAACTCACCATTCAGAACATAGCTCTCCACTCTTCACTTGGCTGCTTAAGAGTAATCTCCAGGGCAAGAAACATCCCCCTTGAAAAGCACAGCTTACTTCCATGTAACAACTTTTCTTGGCCTGAGCACCTCAGCTCCATTCAGGGAATTCACAGTATAAATGTCTTTAAATACTCTCTGATCACAAATCAGAGATAACAGAAAGAAAAGCATGCAAAAGGATGGAAAACCCATTCAGCTCATGGCCCTGGAGGCTGCCCATGCCTGCTCTATAACTCATAAGAGTTAGACAAGAAGAGAACTGTAAATGTAAATCTACTGAGAGTATAACACTGGGTCTTTACAATCCATGTTTTTCAAACTGAGACCTTGTTCAGAAATGGGCTCTCTTTCCAGTGCCCTCTTTTTTCTTCTTCATTCAAAATATTAACCATGGGTTGTTGTAAGTTTTTTGGGTTGTATGGCCATGTTCCCAAAGCATTCTCTCCTGATGTTTCGGCCACATCTATGGCAGGCATCCTCAGAGATTGTGAGGTTTGTTCGAAACTAGGAAAATCGGGTTTATGTATCTGCCATAGATGCAGGCAAAACGTCAGGAGAGAATGCTTTGGGAACGTGGCCATACAGCCCGAAAAACCTACAACAACCCAGTGATTCCTGCCATGAAAGCTTTTAACAATACATCTTAACTATGGTTTTGTTATATATGCCCCAGCCTAATCCATAGTAATGCAAACCACATCCCTTGATTAACCATAGTTTCTCAGAGCTATTAAAAACTATGGTTTTTAGAAGACGCATTTTTAATTCTGAGAAGTAAACAGAGTCATACCAGGAAATGGCTTGTAAACATGGAGGGGAAAGTAATATATATTTGCAGAGTTAGTTCCTGATTTGCAAGCCAACATTTGAAGGGAAGTGAATATGTAACAGGTGTATCTGTTGTGCTACAACTTCTGCCGCTATTGTACTACTTTTGATGCTGTGTTGAGATAGATGTTTTGATGGCCTTCAGTGAATATCACATTTAGAGTATGAGAAAACAGATTCCCATCTCAATAAATTTATAATTTGAAATTAGACACATAAGAACCAACAACCAAAATGGTAAACAGGGATGTAGAGGCTGGTCCATGAGGTCACGAAGAGTCGGAAATGACTGAACGAATAAACTACAAGAGGGAAATACAGGGAAACAATTGGTTCACTTTCATATTTTAATCTTAGCAAAGAGTAGCATGAGAGCTGGGAGAACAGCAGCATCTTTTCTCATCCATTTTGCTGTGTTGGGGCACCTTGCTATGTTTCACTTCTTATGGATCCTTTACATACACAGATTATATAACACTGACATTACAAATTTGATGCCTTCATACTAATGAAGACCAACACACAGAGAGAGACATTGACCAATCTTCTTTCCAATCCCCTCCTTACCTGCAAGAAGGAGAGGTCGTGGTTTTGTTCAATGAGCACAATCTCGAGGTTGCCCATGACGATCTCACAGTTGTTATACATTTTGTGTAGTGTCTGGTACCGTTGGTGGGCATCCCCGGTCACACTGAATCCATTTAGGGTGCCTGCGCAGACTGCAAAAAGAGAAGGAAAGAGGTGCATAAGTAATTGGCATAATGGGAATGATAAAATCCAAACAGTGATGGCTGGTACATCCAGGACGCCTCTTGATTTACAACCCTTCTACCCCCCAATACATTTTATAGGGTTTTCTTAGGCAAGAAATACTCAGAGATGGTATTCCTTAGACTTCCATGTCAATGCACTACAGTTTAATCCAGTCTGTGAATGTGCTGTACAAGGTACTGAAATTATTTTGGTGGTAAGGTTCAGTAACTTTCCTAAGTCTTTTAAATTTCAGAAGAAAAATGGATATGTATGCACTGTTATGGAAACCACTCACTGCATCTGAGTGGATAACTATTTGTTAGTAGGATCATCCACATATCACTATTTCATAAATTAATTCAGAAAATACCATAGGTAAATATTAGCTGTGCCCACAGGCAAGCTTCTTATGGAAAACATCACCCCACAAAACATCAATTAAATGAGTTAATCCATTGAATTCCATGAGACATATTTATTTATTTATTTACAGTATTTATATTCTGCCCTTCTCACCCTGCAGGAAACTGAGGGTGGATTACAATGGCAAACATTCAATGCCATAGACACACAACATATATAGACAGACACACAGAGGCTATTTAACATTCCACCTTTTTCATGATGGTATTCTGGCCACCAGGGGAGCTGTCACTTCACCATTCATTTGTGACACTGATGAAGTACTTTCTCATTCTTTACATGCTTGGAGATTTTTATTGCGGCATAAATTAGCTTCCCCGCATAAGCGGTACCTAAATTTCCTATTTGACAGATGCAACTGTCTTTCGGGCTGCAAAGTTTGACAACAAGCTACACAAGTTGGTCGGAAACTCACTCCGACCCGGCTGGCTTCGAACTCATGACCTTTTGGTCAGTAGTCATCTTAATGTAGCTGACTCCCAGCCAGCTGCGCCACAGTCAACCTCTATTGTTTTCATGCCAGTTAAACTTGATGGCTTCCTACCCCAAATCTTGGGGTGATAGTTGGATAAGAATACTTTTATTTACTTTCTGTCAAATGTATTGCATAAATAAATAAATATAAAACTGTTAAAATAGAGGGAGCACAAGTGGCTAAATAGTTTTAGACCAAAATGGGCAACAGCAACTGCATTGTCTATAGCTTTAAACAATTCTTCCTCTGTGTATGAGGCAGGGCATTTTGGACAGGGCATGCGGAGTTGTTCATTCTGCTCCACAGTTGCACAAGGAGGAGGATTCTTCTAGGTAGAGCCATTTTGCCAGGTTGTGTTTTGATCTGCCCACTCCAGGGTCTGTCCAGGGACTTCCAAGTTGCCCACTCTTGGTTTACTTCTGGAGGAAGACCCTCATGGGGGGCCATCCAGTTGGGATTTCCTGGTTTAGCTGCCCAGAGGGATACCCTTGCTGCTGGAACATTAAGAGGAGTGGTGGTTCTCATGAAACTTTTCCTTGATTTGAGTCTGCTGGGAGGAGGCCGATAGCCATGCAGTGGATGGCTTTCACCATGTTCAACCTTATTTCTCTCACAGCTAGCATACTGAAACTTCCCTTTCCAACTCAGAGAATCAGCTTTCATGTTTCCTTGAAGACAAGGAATGACTATCTGAATCATTTGCATGGATGCATCTTCTGTCTTTCAACAATCTTCTTCAAATTTTTGCCCTCCAGAGGTACAACTTGCTTAATTCCAAGTTGGGTGGGTGATTATAGGAGTTAACAATCTAAAACATCTAGAGAGCATTAGATTGAGTAGTATTGTTTTAGACTTACTTGAGGTGCCTTCAAAATCTGAAGCCCTTTTGGGAAGGATAGACATGTGCAATACTGCCCTAAAGCTAATTGTTGTTGGTTCAATTGACTAACAGGATCACAAGATGAGACAAAGGAACAGTGACGGTAACACCAAATAAGCATACCTGATGGTTATCGCTTACAAAATCTCTTTCTACTTCCTGTTTGGCACTATCATTACTAATGATAAGCAGCCATCTGTAAGAAAACTTGTAGTTCCTCAGATGTGGGACAGCTCTCACAAAAACAGCTTTCTGACTTTTCCCCTCAGAGTAACTGACCCTGTTGCCACATGCAAACATTTTTGAAGCCAAGGTTCAAAACTGGAATGGGAAGAAAAGGCATGTCCCATGCTTCTTAGGCATATAGAGCATTTTTGCTCAAGAAAAGACATGTCCAATTTGGGCACACAAAAAATAACGCAGAAGACTTTAGAGACAGAGCTATAAATCCACATAGGAATGCCAGGATGGCCCTCTCCTTGTTGTCCTCCCATCAGAAAGTAAAAACTATCCTCTTCCAGTAGGTATTTTAAGAACTGGTCTGAAGAACTTATGATAGTTCTGTTTTATGTACTTTTGCAATTTGTTTCATAAAGATCAAGTAGACAGAACATACTGAAAAGAACAAACATAACTTTCTGGCCTTGCATCACACATTTTAGTGCAAATAGGGTTCAACTTAGTAAGTATTACGGAAGGTCATTGATTTGTTTAAAATTTAATGGTGTTTTAACAGTAACTTGTACAATGTTTTACTTATGCCTTTGCATGATATTTTATCTCTATTTTATGTTAATTTTTGCACTCTAATCTTTAAGGTCTCCTCTACACTGCCAAATAATCCAGATTATCAAAGGAGATAATCCACATTTTCTGCTTTGAACTGCATTATCTGAGTCTATATTGCCATATAATCCAGTTCAAAGCAGTTAATCTGGATTTTATACGACAGTGTAGAAGGGGCCTAAGTCCCTATTTTGGAAAAAAAGTGATATGGACAAAGAGAAGGAGGTAAAAGAGTGCTAAGGATCAATTGTTATTAAGTGTAAAACTGACTTAGAATCCTAGAGTTGGAAGAGACCTTGTGGGCCATCCGGTCCAACACCTGTCAAGAAGCAGAAAAATCACATTCAAAGCACCCCCGACAGATGTCCATCCAGCCTCTGCTTAAAAGCCTCCAAAGAAGGAACCTCCACCACACCCTAGGGCAGAGAGTTCCACTGCTGAACATCTCTCACAATCAGGAAGTTCTTCTTCATGTTCAGGTGGAATCTCCTTTCCTGTAGTTTGAAGCCATTGTTCTGCGTCCTAGTCTCCAGGACAGCAGAAAACAAGCTTGCTCCCTCTTCCCTGTGACTTCCCCTCACATATTTATACATGGTCCTCATCATGTCTCCTCTCAGCCTTCTCTTCTGCAGGCAAAACATGCCCAGCTCTTTAAGCCGCTCCTCACAGGGCTTGTTCTCCAGACCCTTGATCATTTTAGTCGCCCTCCTCTGGACACATTCCAGCTTGTTAACATCTCCCTTCAATTGTGGTGCCCAGAATTGGACACAGTGTGATTCCAGATGTGGTCTAACCAAGGCAGAATAGAGGGGAAGCATAATTTCCCTGGATCTTGACACTAGACTTCTATTTATGCAGGCCAAAATCCCATAGGCTTTTTTAGCTGCCACATGATATTGTTGGCTCATGTTTAACTTGTTGTCCATGAGGACTCCAAGATCTTTTTCACACGTATTGCTGTCGAGCCAGGTGTCCCCCATTCTCTATCTTTGCATTTGATTTTTTCTGTCAAATCGAAGTATCTTGCATTTTTCCCTGTTGAACTCCATTCTGTTAGTTTTGGCCCATCTCTCTAATCTGTTCAGATCGTTTTGAATTCTGCTCCTGTCTTCTGAGGTTTAATTTTTACAAAGTGTTTGTAAAAATTAAACATCAGGAAACATGAGACATGGTTACCAGAGATTATTCAATGTAAACAGTTTTATGGTAAGACTTCGGAATTTTAAAAACTGAACAATAAGGTTTCGCTGTGTGTATATGGCTCATATATACACACTATAGTGTCCATTGAATATCAGAAACAACATATTTGAAAATGTGTATTCTGTGTATCTGTTGAAGTTCTGCTGGACGACACATAGGTACAACCGAAGTACCTATGGGTAAATAAAAATAGCAGTCGTCATAGTGCCTTGTATACTGGCTGCTTGCCATTGACTACTCTCACCCAGAGCTAGATGGCCTGCTTCCAGGAAATGATGGACAACCGTGAGTTCGTGCACACCCAGCTCAACCCTCTTGGAAGGTAAACAAGCAATCTACTCCTAACCCACAGCTAAATGGGCACATAATAACTTCATTGTAAGAGGAAAAGCTGCAGAGGTCTGAAATCATAAGGAAATAGGTTGCCTGACAAGCTGGTAATGGCTTTGCAAGATCACCATCCGTTCTTTTTAAGACTATGGGGAAGAGGGAGAATTCTGGATCAGAGACCATTTATTTATACCCTGTTTTTGATCTCTGCTTAATTTATGTATCAAATCAGGAGGAACACAAAATTACATAAAATTATCAACCAGTTGCTTGTTCGCTTTATCTCACATTGTTAGTTTAAGCTAAGTCATTTCTCCAAGACCTCTTTAGTCCACATAAAAAACATACCAAGGCTTTGCCAGTATAAGCCTAATGCCCAGCTCAGACGACCACGTGCATTGTGCATACAATGCATGCCCCCTCTAGTGATAAAAGATGGGGCGACAAGATATGAGGATTGGGAAGTCCACAGACCCCCTGGCATGGCTTCCATGCAGCCATGAGCCTGGGACATCGCATTTCAGAAAACGAAAAAGACGCAGATGCATGCACCTGCGGGAAAATCTACTTACATGAAACCCAGTGAGAAAAAAAAGCCTTGGTTTCACACTGTTAAACTATTTTCTGCAGTATCGGAGGCCCCAGTTTGGGTGTGTACCTTTGTATCTACAAAGTTCATCAGAGTTAAGCACAAACCTTCCTAAGCCCACAAAAGCCTCTCGTAGTTGCCTCAGAACTGACACACCAACAAACTGGCTGGGCAGCTTTTTTTGCCAAATGTGGCACAAACAAATAATCCAAACAGCCAACAGATCCAGCCAATCAACAAACCAAAGGCAACTGTCATTTGGGGAGGGAGGGCAAGGGAG